TGGGTCATATCCCAAAATGCAGAACTGTTTGAATAATCCGTCATCAAACTGGGAGCACCATGACAGCCAGTGAGTCTGGGCCCATATTTTGCTTACAAACACAATATAAAATAACTTCTAAAGACACTGGAGCAATTATGCATTTTGTCTCAACAAAAAGCATCCCAAATAAATCACAATTCAAGCCAAGGCTTATGTGAAGCTGCTTTCTCCTTTCCCCAGCCTCACTCCTAATCTGCAAGGGAGTGAGATGGAAGACACACATCCTGAAAAGTGCAAGCCAGGAGCTGATTAACTCCTAAAGGTGTCTGGTTACAGATATCCTATTGATCAGCTCGAGCCTGGCATCAGGATACCTCCCATTACACTTACAAAGGAAACACAATCTGTCTTCCATAAGGAAATGGAAGACAAGCTTGTGTTCCCGTGCTGTTTAGAAAAGTGACCAGCACAGAAAGTGACCTTTGAGGGAAAGACAGTCTTCTTCAAGGTCAAGAATTTGTTTTGTGCCAGTAACAACTCCATCCTCCACGCTGCTGCCAGCATCTCTGGGTACTTTGCTGGCAAGTTCACTGCCCTCCATTGCCTTCCTGCTCCATTTTTCCATGTTATTCTCATGATTAAATACTTGAGCAGCTTCCATGGACATCAGCAGTGGAAACGTTGCTGAGCCTGTGTTTATTTTCACTTTGTCTTGGAGGGAAAAGTTAAACCACAACCAGGCTGGAGGTAGCAGAGTATGAACTGACGGGTTTTTGCTGTGGAGGTGGACAAGTGTTTGCCCATCCCTGTGCAAGAGGGTGCTGATAATATCCCTAAATTCTGATCTGGCATCTAATTGGGCTCTTTTTTTCCAGACAGGGCTGGTGTCCTGTATAGGGTGTGTAGGGACCAGCAGAGCCGAGAGCTCAGAGTACAGCCACAATCTCATAAATAGCAATTCAGTGAGGCTGAGTCAGCTGAAGTGCATCATCTGCATCTCTGAATTCTCTGGCTGTTGGCAAGGGGGAAAAAAGAAAAAGAGGGAAGGGTGGGTTATTTCATTTTTATTTTAAAAACAAGAATTTTCCCAGTGTCTCCTGTCTTCAAAAAACCCTGCATCTTTAGCTCGTTATCCTTATCTGTGCCTGAGCACAGCACTGAGCTGAATTCCCTGGACCTGAAACATCTCCAAGGGTAGCTGTGGGTAATGAGAGAATTCACAGCAGGAAAAGCAGCCATGTGAAAGTGGCCACCTCTGGGCTGAAGGGCCACCTCTGCTCCTCCCCATGAGGTGGACAAATGATGGAGCAGAACAGTGAAGCCAGGGCTTATTTCAGCAGATTTTAGATTGCTGCATGTGGTCTATGGGGAGGCAACTGACCACTGAGGGATGTGACAGCTTATCCATCACCTGAAAGGACTGGATAACCCCCTGCTGACTTTTACAACCCAAAACTCAGCCTTGCTGTGCTCCCCGCAGGTGTTTGGACTGTGGGAGGCCAGCCAGATTCAGATGGTCTTCACAGTCCATCCTGCCCATCAGCATTTATGGATGTTCCACCCAGTCCAGTTGCTTTTGGCAGGAAGCTGGAAAGACACAGTGGTGGAGAAGGCTGCAGAGGCTCAGAATTTCCCTTTAGTAGCATGATCATCCTTGCAGCCAGGTGGTTTGGTGGATCCATCAGTTTTCAGAGCTGTAGATTGTTGTGGGGAAAGCTGAGCGTTGCTGACAGCAGCACTGAGCATGGCCTGGGAGAGGAGCCAAAAATGCACCTTCATCTTGCTCCCTGTGGGTTCTACAAAGGGTGCTGGAGGAGAATGCCATTCCCATGTTATTCCCCCACCAAAGCTGTCCTTGAGAGCTGTGCCTCTCTGTGGCTGCTGGGGTCTGCAGTGTGGGGAAAGGAAATGTCTTTTTTTTGGGGAATATGAGTGGTAGAACCTTATCTCCTCTCACCTTCCTTGTCTTCACATTGTGTGTTTGTGTGGTGGCAGAAGGAGGAGGCACTACCTCACTGATGGTGGGTTTGTACCTTGAAGTGGTTTTTGCTTGTGTCTTCTGGGGTTGGAAGCCAACAGGACACAAAAACGGACAGAGGGTCTTGTCAGAGGGGAACATTTTGCCACAGTAAGCACAGGAAGGGCAGCACTAGTTGGAATCAGAATATCCTGAAGTGGAAGGGATCCCCAAGGATCACTGAAGTCCAACTCCTGGCTCTGCACAGGGCAGCCCCAAGAACCCCACCATGTGCCTGAAGGCATTGTCCAAACACTTCTTAAACTCTAGAAATAGAAATAACTGAAGATAAGTCAATGTAAAGTCAGGCAAGGCTTCTCCCTTCCCCTTCTTGACTTCCTGGGTGTCCTGGTTCAGGGTAAATTCTGGAGAGACCCCCCCAGAGGGGCTCCTCTTGGAAAGCAGATTGAATTGGCCCCTCCCACCAGCTGTTCCAGGAGAAAAATACCTCCTTGGAGAAAAGTGGAAAAAAAACTGTTTATAAACCAATAAAACCTAAACAATATTAAACAATAAAACCCCTTGCTGCTCCAAAAGAGATGACAAACTCAGAAAGTCTCCCCTCCAGCGCTGGAAATGCCGCGGCTCAGGCCCGGCCTGGTGGGCCTCAGGTGCTCTTCTGGTGTTCAGGCCAGAGCAGGTTTAAACAGCTCCAAGGAAAAGGGAAACAAACCCCACAGTGCAGGGAACTTCTTTGATTCAGCTAGCTAAACTAACTAAAACAAAGGAGAGCTCTGTCCCGCTGTCTGTCCATCTGCAGACAACGCAGTCCAGGAGCAGGAATGTGGAGGAGTGAGTGCAGTGTCTGAAAACAAACTGCGCACTTCTTCTCTCCCCCTTAACTCTTGGAACAAGTCTTAACGGTGGAAAACTTATTATTCATCATAAACAGAACAAGATTATTGGGGATAAAAGCATCATATAGCGTCACAATCCGTCCTTACGAACAGGGTTCATGATGGCTCGTGGATTTGATCTCAGGGTGCAAAAAGAACCAACACGGTACAAGGGGTTTGCAATGATAATCAAAACAAACGCACATGTATTGAATGACCACAGCAAAATGCGATAGAGAGATTAAGGGAGAGAAAAAGAGAAAAAAAAAAAGGGGGGGGGGGGGGGGAAATAGCTACCAAATATAGACGAAGTTCTTTGGTCCAGTCCAGGCAAGGATCCGCCTGTTACATCAGGGAGATCTCAAAATCTCTAGCTAACTCAGAGGTTTTTATTATGATAATTCTATTGAAAATTGTGAGGGAGGGGAAACAGATACAATAAGGAATAGATGTAACAGTAGTCCATGTCCTCAGCAGTAAACCAGAGCCATTGTTTTCTTGGTCCAGTGGTCACAGCATCTCAGGCAAACATCTCGGTTTGGCCAGCTTGCCTCCCCCACACACCTCCCCCAGGTTGGGGGTCTCAGTCCCAGTCCTTGGAAGGAGGAGAGGGGCCTTTTCACATGGGGGTTTCATGTCTCAGTCCTTGATGTAAAGGCTTCTTACATCTCAGTCTGTTTGTCACAGTGGTTGTAAAACAGGTGAGGGTCTTCTGTGGGAGACCACCCAGAACTCAGGAGAAGTCCAGCCAGGCCGAGAGGTGGGACAGCTTCTAAGGCTATTGTTGCAAAAAGGGCACGGTGCCCCCTTCTTTGGGCTCAGTGTAGCATACAGCAAACAACACCTGTGAGAACAATAACTTAGCACTGTGCTCTCAGGTCTCAGGGCCTTTGGCGTGTGACTTTATCCTACAGGGCTAGACGGGGGGATCTTCTCTTCAGTGGTCCCCAAATGATGATCGTGAGGCAGATGAGGGAAAATTCGGACAGACTCTCACAACAGTCAACCCAGGACACTGGGCTACCCTGCAGCTTCCAGTCCCACCACTTTTAGAGACACCCCATGTGAAAAACGCCAATCACTTGTTTTTTTTAAAATTTTAAAAGTTTAATTGTAATAAAACGGTTATAAAAATAGTAATACAATTAGAGTAATAATAATTTGGACAATTTGAATTAGGACAATATGAGACAATAGAGACAAAGAGTTACGGACATCCTGGTACCTTTTTCTGGGCAGCACCAGCCCAAAAAAGGACACCCATTAAGAGAGGATTAGCCCTTAAGAGCAATAGCATGTTGAATATTCATACACCTCTTACATGATGCATAAATTCCATTCAAACAAAGGATTCGGTCTGGTCATCCTCAACTTCCTCCTCCTAATCCTAAGGCGCCTTCGATCTTTAGCTAGGCAGGAAGAATTCAGTTTCTTCTGATAAGAGAGCAATAAATTCCTTTTCTCTGAAAGATTTAGGTGTCTTGTGGCTGTTGTCTGGTGCGAGTGCCTCTTTTCTTTCATAAAAAAAATATTCCACTTACACGGTGTGAAGGTGTTCACAGGGGTCTTAGGATGAGGGAAGAGATGAGAATGTTGACTCCATGTTTCAGAAGGCTTGATTTAATATTTTATGATATATATTATATTGAAACTATACTAAAAGAATAGAAGAAAGGGTTTCATCAGCAGGCTAGCTAAGAATAGAAAAGGAAAGAATGAATAACAAAGGCTTGTGACTGAGACAGTCCAGACAGCTGGAGTGTGATTGGCCATTAATTAGAAACAATCACATGAGACCAATCACAGATCCACCTGTTGCATTCCACAGCTGCAGATAATCATTGTTTACATTTTATTCCTGAGGCCTCTCAGCTTCTCAGGAGAAAAAAATCCTAAGGAAAGGATTTTTGATAAAACATGTCTGTGACAACATAGTTCTTATTTTAACTAAAAAAGTTACCTTTTAACTACAAGGCTACATTTATCATATTATTAAAATGTTAATACAGCACTACTAATCAACACATCAAAATACATACAGTAAATACCTACGTAGAGCCGTATTTTTACACTTTTCACACCCCAGTTTTGAGTCTCGGCAGCTGGAACACGGCAGGCTCTGGGCTCTCTCGGAGGCTGACGGGGCTTTTCTGGATCTTGCCCAGGTGGTTGGAACTCCTGGTCGGCTTGGGGCGACTGCACCAAGGACTGCGGGGGCGGCCTGCAGACCCGCATGCGCTCCTGCAAGCCCCTTCCCAACGAGGGCCTGGCCTGCGAGGGAGTGCTGGAGGAAGGACGGCTGTGCAATAGGAAGGCTTGCAATAGTAAGTGGAGGCATGTTCCCTTGCACGCGCGGCTCCCGGGAGGAGGAGGAGGAGGAGGATGGCTTCATCCCCATCGAGGATGGAGGGTGCTGCAGAGGCTCGGGGAAGCTGCCCCAGGGCTGTGTTGGAGCAGGGAGCCCAGGGGAATGTGTGGATTTGGCTGTGCATGGCCCTGCCCGTGTCCCTGCCTGTCTCGCATGCACACGCACACGTGCTGGCACAGTCTTCCTGCACCTTCCAGGCCTTCAGCCCAAAGAATTTATAGGAATCTGTGAACAGGCTTACATCAGGTTTTCTTATCCTGCTGCCACGTCCTTACAGGCATTTTATTTTTTTTTCTCAGTTTTCCCAAATAATTAAAGCTGAGAGAGGTGTTAATCTTGCTTCTTCTTGGTTTAGTTCAAGAGCAGTGACCCTGCCCCTTTCTTTCACAAATGGAAGCCCCTGGTGATAAGATGAAGAGAAAGATCTGGCTGTTTGACAGGGATTGAGTGATGCAAAGGCTTTGGTGTGTGCTCCACTGTAATGCATCCTCCTTCCAGGTCCTCTTCTCCAGAGAACAGGGCACAGAGTGCCCACACCAGTCAGATACTGATGCGTTGAGCTGGTGAACCTCCAGCACTTTCAGCCCCAGTTCTTCTGTTGCTTTAAGCTGTGTTGAGAGGGGGATGAAGAGACAAAGCCAACTGCAGAAACAGCTCAGCCCAATAAATGCAAGCAAATGGCTGGTTATAATTATTCCCTTCTTTTTATTTCAAATTCAGAGTAGAGAATGTTTGAATAACTCCTCTGACTAGTCAAATAACTAAGGAAAGTTCAACTGTCTTCAAAGGCTGGGAAGTATCTCCTGATAAGAGGGAAGTTCAAATAAAGGGACATAAATATATTCCTCTAATAAGGGCTAAAATGATTTCATGCATTTTTTAACATTTCCATAAATTTAAAATATGCTGCAATTAGGCTTAGATTTTTTTTTAATGAAACCTGGTGTATTGAATTCCATCTCCTTGGCTCACAATTGCTAAATTCCCTCTGAGCTTTGCCCACACTAGGGATATTTAATCCATGTCCCCCATGCTTGGTGGTGACTTTGTAGTCATGACTCAGCTGTGGCTTGTGGCAGGGAGAGTAGGAATGCAAGGACCTGGAAGCTGGTCCTGAAAAAGTCAGAAGTCCAGCTGTGGGGTGGGGGTGTGCCTGAGTGGAGTTGGAGGAAGGGCCACAGCAGTCTTGGTGAGCAATGTGTGAAGGAAGAGATGGCACTGGGAGTGGGACAGGGGGATCTGCAGGGCTGATCACTCTTTGACCATGGGAACACATGGGACAGCAGACAAAACCCTCCTTAATGTGTCCTTCCTATGCTGGATAAACTAGGGGGGACCCAGTTCCCCAGATTCTCTTTGCAGGACATCCTTCCTCATCCCTAACCATCTTCCAAGCTGTCCATGGGACCTGTTTGATTCTTCTGCAGGCCTCTTGATGTGGTGAGAGGGGGAAGATCCTGTTTTCCAGGGCTAGCCTTATCAGCACTGAGCAGGGGGCATAACATCTTCCCTTGATCTTCCCCAGAAGCAAAACTTTGGTTCTTCTTTGCGTTAGATCTCCTGAGATTGTGGTGGCAAGGAGAGCCATGGAGGCTGGGTTGGATTTCCATGGCATGGAGTGCAGCAGTGAAGAATTAATCAGTTTTTACTCATTATTTACTTCACTTTTCCTGGAACACAACAATCAGCAAGGTCAATCCTAAGTGCAAAAAAAACCTGAAGGGGCTATGATTCAATAAATTACTTCACTTGTCTTCCTGTCCTTTTTCCATTGCATTCCCAGCCAATTCCTCCTCCAAACTGCAATGAGATTAGTTCAGCTCTGGTTATTAGGAAAGAAGGAATTTTAAGCTAAGTGGGAAGTCCTAGTTTGGAAGGAGAATACACACGCAGAGTTGGGCAGCAAAAACTGATTTATTCCATTGAAATAAATTAATTCTGATTAATTGTCCCAAGACCCTCTTTGCAGACAAACTGCTGAGCCCCATTTTGATGTTTTCGTGCTGGAAAGGGTTTGGGGGGATATGTGAGCAATAAATCTTTCCAGATGACTTCTCCATGCACATATTGAGGTCTGTGTCCTACTTCAAGATAAATCTGTGTCTCTTTGTATCAAAAATGTTCACTTGGCTCTGAACTTGCCTCTCAGTGAGTCTGTCCCCTGCTGCCTTTACCCAAAGAGATGCACTTTTGACCCAAGAAGGGTTTTTAATTTTCTTGCACGTATCTTTTCCTTCTCTTTACTTTGATTTGCACCAAAACCTAAGAGGATTTGAAAGTAGAATAGAAATCCTGTTTTAAATGTGTCACTCTTATTTTCATATTGACTTTTGCTCATAGATTTGTTAGGGATGAGTAGAATGTTCGTTCTTTCCCTGGAACTGTTATTATTCTAAGTGTTCATTATAAGCTGCAGTTAAATAGATTCTAATTATTTCTCTTCTTAATTAAAAGAATAAAATGAAGAAAAATATAAAAAATAAAGAAAAGAGGAACTGGCCAGGAGAACAACTTTACCTTCAATTGTTCAGCATTTAAGCAACTTAACTTGTATAATACCTGACCAGCTCTCCAGGTTGGTTCTCAGCTATTGTGGAATAGCTGAGATCTTAATTTTCTAATATGGAAAAAAAGCAGGAGAACATATTTTCCTTGAACAAAGAGCCATCTGTAATCCTGAAAAAACAGCAGAACAAAACAGGGATGAGTGCCCTGATATGTTCCTCTTTGCTGTGGAGGTAAATTAAAACTTGTCCACTGAGAAATTGCTAGCCAAGCAAGTTGGGTTAGAATAACACAGATATCCCCCTCCACCTTCAAAACAAGGATAAACCCATCTTTTTTCTTTCACCTCTCCTCTCCCACTTCTGCCAAAGTGGCTCAGAAGCTGATGAGTGATTAGCAGTAGTGTTTTAGCTGTTTAATTGGATCTCCTGCCTCTGGGGCAGGTTCTCAGAGTGATGACACTCATCTCCCTGGAGCTGCTGAGAGGAACTTTTGTGGAATATCTTCGAGGGTTTAGTTGGTCATTTTATTTTGCCAGGCCGTGGCAAACATTCCAAAGCTGTCTTGTCACAGAGCTCTTCCCCGAGGTGGATCTCGTCCAGGTCCTGCCATTTTCCTCTTCCAGAGCTGCCCCCAGGTGGGCCTTCAGCAGGTCTCAGCATGAAGGAGTGGGGTTGATAGTAGAAACCTCTCAGTTTTTCCAAGAGCTGTGATTTGTGCCAGCCTGGTCACCAAAATGTGGGTGCAGACACCTGGGCCCCAAGAGCTGAGTCTGAACACGTTGCCTGGAAGGCACAGAGGTTAAAATTAGTGCACAGGGCTGGTTGAATGACTCCACAGGTACCATTTCTATGTGGTCTTTGTGTTTTCCCACTCGTTTGGGCCACCATCTCTGCTGTTTCATGTGATGGAGTCTCTTGCTTGATGATCTTCTGGCTAAATTTCCCCAGGGATACACACCCAAGCCCAACAGGAAGTGAGCCAGGTAAGTTTTCCATGGGCAAAAACAAAAGCTGTGAATGCTGAGGAAAAACTCTATTGAAGACTCATCCCATATTGGGAAGGAAACTTTGTCTGGTAACAGCAGCTTGGCTTAGGCAGAGCCTTTATTTGTGACAGCTCAAGGAAAACACAAAGGTTTTGCCTTGCTAAAGGACTTGGTGATATCCTCCTCTCCAGCACAGACAGCAGAGATTTCCTCCCTCTGTTGGATTTGGGCAGGAGCTGCTCTTTTATAGAGAGAAGGAAAAAAATGCCAACCCAACTGTGGTGGGAGCTTGCAGAGGAACTTCCCAGGTCCACCCACTGTGGATGGAAAGGGATATGCTCCAGTGGCTCTTTTTGGCTGCAAGGTTCTGGGTTTGCTCACAACCTGGCAGGCAGAGGGTCCTCACAAGGGTGGACAACATCCAAACCAGAGGGGAATCGTCACAGACCTGACCCCAGCGTTGGAATTCAGCAGTGCTGGAGAGATGTAAGAACAATCAGAGATGTGGGCAGCCTGCATTTATTCCTGAGGAAGGAAAGCCAGCAGAGGAGCCAGCTGAAATCCTGCCATCCCACGTGGCAGGGGCTTCACAGAACCATCCCTGACATTTATGGATATGCAGATTGGGAAGCCGCAGCTCCCATGGCTGGGAAAGGGGTGACCACATCCTGATGTCAGGTGCAGGAGGGTGACCCTGGCACAGTCCTGGTGTTCCAGGCTGGATTTTCAGCTTCCAGCAGGTTCAGGATGTAGCCCTTCAGCTGTTAGTGGTGTGAAGGAATTCATGTTCCATGTGACATTCCCAAGGCTGAGCCTCAGTCTCAGTCTCTGCCGCCCCTGATTCTCATTAATTTTTTATTTTTTTTGCTGCAACCACGGAGCTGAAATATCCTGGGCATGTGTAGGAGCATCTTCATTCCCTGCAGGCCAGGCTAGAACTCACTGCAAGCTGGAGGAGCTCCTGTAGGTACCTGCTGTTGTTGCTGCAGAGACTTTGCCCTGCCCTCTTTTTTGCTGGTTGTTCAGGCATTTCACATCTGAGAGTCACAGTGACTCCCCCAGTGATGTTTTCACAAATTTCACATATTCAAATTGAAATGCTTTGGGTGTAATTGCAGTATATTCAGTGGCCTCCAAAATGTCCCTCTTCTCCATCCACGTTTTGGGGTTTAGGGGTTGTTAGTAATTCTGTACTTTTCAGTTTTACTCTTTAGCAGCTGGTAGATGCTCCAAAAGTCATCACATTTCCTTTCAGTTTTACTGCACAGAGGTTCATTTCAATATTTTGGGTATTTTTTTAATAATCCCATTCCACTTTTTGCTCTGGTTCATCCCCTCATTCCCACCATCCCACCTTGCCTGAATAATTTTCATGATCCTGCTATTTGCTTTGCCTCTCCTGTTTGGGGGATGAGTACAGAGTGTGTAGCTGTGGTGACACATGTTTGGATGTTAAAACCTTGGCCCACAGCACTTCAAAGTCTCTGCCTTTATTTTATTTTTCCCTGGGTTGTGTTGCAAGTTGGTGTCTGACACATGGCATGTTCTCATTAGAAGTGTTGGTCACCTGCTTCCTATTCCCACTTCTGCCAGCACTGATCATCCTCCACATCCACACTTGAGCTGTGGGTTTGGTTTTTTTTTCAAAATCTCATGTACTTGCCTCTGCTTGAAGTTGAAACATCCCTGTTTGGTTCCAAGAGCATTATCCCATTATCCCTCTATTCCTCCTGTTGGCATTGGAAAGGTGCTTGGGTTTTTCGTGCCATTTTCACTGCATTTACCCAGCTAGGATGTAAATTGGATCTGGGTATTCTATTAATCCTGGAATTACTCCTCTCCACTGACCCTGCTGTGGGAAAAAGGCTGCTGAAATCCAACCAGGTCCCCACTGCCTTTAGGTTTTGACCTCCACCCCATAAAGTTCAGGTGCCCACAGCAAGGCAGCACTTGCACCACCTTCCCCATGTTCTGAAGGAACCTGGTGTCTCTCTGCTCTGTTTGGAACCAGGATTGGTTTGTGCATCTCTCCAGGTTAAATCTCAGCAGTGCTCTGTGTTAAATGGAGACAAACTTGCTTCTCTGCACATCCTTTTCCAGAGGGGAGGAAGGCTTCCTGCAGCAGTGGAGGGAAAGCTTGGGGGAAGCTGGAAGGGTCGCTCATTTAGCCTCTAGGCCTGATTGGCTTTAATTAGCATGAGAAATAACAGTGCAGCCTTGACATACCTGTCAAGGAGCAAAGGAAATCACTCAGTCCTTCAAGACTGGGGTATGTCATTAGGAGATGTCAGCGACACGGGGGCCCAAATAATTGGTGAGATGAGGTTCAGGGTGTTAGACTTGCAATTAAAACTTCTTTTTTGCTCTTTTATCTTCCCTTCCCTATGTGCTGCTTCCTATGTCTCTGTCCATCTGTGAACACTGACTGCTTCTGGGATATTCAATCCCAGGTTTCCCTGTCACCTTCCTTGCTCTGGGCAGGTGACAAAGCCATCCAAGCTCCACACATCTACTCCTTGATGCCCAGCCCCACTTTCTCCCCCCAGCCTAAATAAGTCTGTGGGAAGCCCATGGGGATGTGATGCAGATGGAGATTTTGTGTGTTCTTGTGGTTTGTGAGATTTCATGGAGAGGACTTAAATTGGAGCAGATGAAAGTGTGTGGGTATAACCAGGAATGGGTGGTGGGGATGTGAGAAGTTCCAAATATGGGAATAAGTTGTCTCCTAACAAACTCGAAAAAATGAGTATTGGAAAACTACTTAGAGTTTTTTTCTTTTTTGAACTGAATCTCCCACAGGAAAGTCCCATGATTTTTAGCTATTAAAAGCAAAGGGTTTGAAACCCCTCTATTCCAGGAAGGAGCCAGGCAAAAACAAGGTGTTTGCAGATTTCAGGATGTTTGTGGTCCTGATTTCAGGCTGTGGGTATCTTTCCCTAGAGAGGATGGCAGGTGGGTGACTGCCCCATCCCATCCCCTCCAGCCAGAAGCCAGCTGGTGCTGGGAACATTTGGAGGAGTCCATGTGACAATTCCTAGACTCCTCAAGTTCTGCTTTCAGGCAACTGTGATGGTAAATAATACAATTTCACAAACTCTCCCATGATCCAAACTGCTGAATATAAAGCCTGGGTCCTGGCAGGGACTCTCTGAATCATTCCTCTGCCTCCTCTGCTTTCCCTTTTTGGATGGCAATAAAGACTCCTGCCACCACACTGAAGCTTCATTAACCTTTATTAATTTTCTCAGGGTTCTGGGATCAATTTGTCACTATTTCAACCCTTGGCAGTTCATACTTCTTGAAAAGATGTCTGACTGTTTTGCCTCCTTGGGGGAAAAGATCTTCTGTCTGGTACTTGCTGTTTGGAAACAAATTGGCTGCCAGATCACAGATTACCCGGGCTCAGCTCTGCTCTCTGCTATTCTGTGTGACTCCTGTGGAGTCAGCTGAGCTCTCCTAATTTACAGCAGGCACTCCTGGTAGATGGGATTTGGTTGTTGTTGCTGGGTTGTTTCTCTCTTTGTAGGAAGGGAATGTGTCAGGGTTACAGCATGTCCAGTAGTACAGACAGCAGAAATTTCAGTTTTCCCTCCAGCCAGTTCAGGGCTGATCACGCAGGATGAAAATGAAAAGCTGGCAGAGCGTGGGCTTGGAAGGAACAGTTAAATGCCTTTGATTTACTGTGGATGCATTGTTTACCTTCTGAACTTCACACCATGGGCTCCGCTGGGAGATTTTCAGTAGGACACAAGGGTCAGGAGCTTGTCTTTTACTGAGAAGGAAAAGTTCCCAGTTATTGCTCTGCTGGTACTCTGCTGAAACCAGACTTTCATCTCTCCTTGTTGCTGGTGGCAGGGTGGAGTCTATGAAGGAGACTTCCTATTGAGATATCCCTTTCCTTTCCACCTGCCCTCACCTGCCTGCTGCACTCAGCGTTTCCTGGCTCCTCTACAGGGCATTTCTAGGCAGGTGCTGGTTGCAAGGCAGAATTTCCCACCAAAACCACCCTGCCAGCTGCCACCACAAATCTCAAAACACCACTAGGGATGGTAGGATTCAGTGCCAGCATGTCTGAAGAGGATGAATCCTCCACAAGTGCAGCAAGGAGTGCAGACACCCTAGAAAACCACTGAAATTGATTAAAGACCAGACATAGGGGATCATACTCTGCATGGTCCCAAGCCCCACTCAAAAAGAAGGAGTTGAACCACCAACCAGCCCGAGTCTTTCAGGCTGGTTTGGTGCTGAAACCTCAGGGAAAACTGGTGGCCAGGGGTGCTGGGGTTGGAAAGCAGGTGGTCACGTCAGGGGAACGTGGCAGGCGGCTGTTGTTAACGCGTGTAACCTTTGTAGTGAAAGATCTTGCAGAGTGAACCGAGGTGTATTTACATGACCCATTACCTTGCCATAGCCAATGGACGCTATAATTCCAGAAGCCAATCGCTGAGGTCCACAGATAACAGAAAGCGAGAGGACCCTGACGAACTGCAGCACTACGGGTACCCTGCACCTCAAATAGGTAAGCTCTGACCTCCCACAGCGGCCTCTGGAGCTGGGACACTGCTCCACTCACTGCACTGCCCAGCTGGGCTGGGCTCTCTGCACTGTTTCAATGATTCCCCCCTCCCCAAACCATCTCCTTCCCCCCAGGTCAGTGTGGGGGACGCTCCCCCCGTGTTGTCACGTGCTGAACCAGTGGTCATCGCCCCCTGTGTTCCCATTCCATCACCCTGCGGGGTTTTGTGTCGTCACCATCAGCCAGAGAAGGCAAAAAGGGACAGACACAAAGCCCTGGCAAGACCATCCATCCCCACAGAATGTTTTGCCATCACCCTGCCTACTTCTGAGTCACTGCTTTGTCTGAATTATCCAAGCACACATGGTTCATGAAGCCAAAGCTGACCTTGGTGCAATGCAGCCCCTTTGCTGATGTCCATGTCATGCCTTCCCATTGGCTGTGAGAGAGGGTGAGCAGGGCTTGATGGGGACAGAGCAGGATTGGTTTCCTCTGTCCCTGGGTCTTTAGTGATGTGCAAGGACTTGTCTCCAGTAGGTTCTGCAGCAGGACCTTCCACCCTTCTGCCACAGAAGGGCAATAATGTGTAGTAATATCAGACAGCATGATCTGGGAAGATGGGGATGAATTTGACCTAGATCTCTGCCAGATCTGATCTGACCCATCCCTGGAAATGTTCAAGGCCAGGTTGGATGGTGGTTTGGGCAACTTGATCTAGTGGAAGCTGTCCCTGCCCATGGCAGGGGTGTTGGAAGTAGATGATCTTTAAGGTTCCTTCCAACCCAAACCATCCTGTGATTCTGTGATTCAGTCTGCGAAGGTTTTGTGCTCTCCCTTCATGCCTTTGTGTCGTGGCAGGATCTCAACACATCAGGGGTCTCAGGCAAAGCACAGAGTGCTAAACCTGGCCAGAGGTTAAAAATCACTGCCCAGTGACCATGCCAGCATTTTGTGCTCTAGAAAGGCTTCAGAGAGGTGATTTGATTAGAAGGGAGAGAGGATCATACTCTGGTGTGGGTTACCTGTGCTCCAGCCAGCCCAGGAGGACTTTGCCACTGTGCAGCATCAGGAGTCTGTGTGGTGTGGAGTACCTGGGGTGACTTTTTGGGGTTGTGGTTTTCAACACAGAGCAGGGGTCAGCCTCAATTTCCTCTCTACCCTGCACAGACTCTGCCCCCTCCACTGAGAGCAGTTCCACTGCCTGCAGGATGGATCCCTGGAGTCTGGTAAAACCTGCAGGAGAGGGAGGACTTTTGCACCACTACAACGTGGAAAAGCTGAGCTTAATCTCTGTCCAAATGAAGGGAAGGCATTTCAAGGCAGGCCCCTGTTGTTCCTACTCTGCCTGGTCCCAGGTGCTTCCCCAGAGCTCCTGTTCCAGCCTGTAACTCAGCCATCAGGTTTATAGTTTGGCATTTCTTCCTGCCGTGCATCTGGATGCTGGAGCTGGGCTCAGTGACGTCTCTGTCACCTCCCTGCCATCGTGGCCACCGCTGCAGCATGGCTGGCTTGGGCTGTGGCATCCCTGAGGGCAGCATGGGCTGGGAGATGTGCATTGTCCTGCTGCAAGCTTCCCACATCCCTGTGGCTGTCCCAGGCTGGAAGGAAATCAGGATGGAGGAGATGTGGACACAGAGGGTACAGTCCACAAAGGGATTAGAGGGAATTTTTTAGCTGAGGATGCAGAAGCAAAGCTCAAAAATTCCCTTTGGGCACAGATTGTAGGGAATGAGACATTTCACAACTGCTCAAGACCTGGAGAAAGATGAAATACAGAAATCAGCTGATGCCATCTCACAAGGATGAGGGGATGGCCTTGGCCAGCTGAAGAGCAGCATTTTCTCCTGCCAGCCCTTCACATTCCTGGTTCCCAGGTCCTGTTGGCCTCCAGGCTGTGGCAGGGCTGTGCTCTCAGCCAGGGTGCTGCTGGCTGCCCACGTGCCTCTCCCAGCAACAGCACAGGAGCCAGATCCAGCCCAGCAGGTCCCTGGCATGGGCTCTCCTGGCTCAGGAGGACTCTGCCTGCAGCAGGATGTGAGCAGAGAGGCACATGGGGAGATATCAGACTGACAGACCCCCAGACTGAAAGGGCTCCTGGCAGAGGGGTGGCAGGGATGTGCTGCTCCATTAGTGCTGAGGGAAGAGGAGTCATGGAGCAGCTGCAGGCACTGATGGGGACACTGCAGCCAGGAGCTGGAATGATCCTGGATTGCAGTGCCAAATCCCTGTGGATTAGCACCCAGCGTGTCTCATTCTGCAGCACCTGCTGGACCCTCTCCATCTGCTGCACCTGGATCTGTGGGAGCAGCAAGGGCCATCTTCCACTTCAAGTGGGGTAGAGAGCCCTGAAAAATCCTTTGGGACATTCCTGTTAATCCCCAAACTACTTTGGGGCATCACAAAACTAATCAGAAGTCAGCCCTGCTGAGATAGCTGCCTTCAAGCACTGGTGGTGATGCTGGGCAGGGCTTGGCCTCTTCTCCTCTGGGGATAAAGGAAATTTGGAGCCACTCTGCTATGAAATTCACACAGGCTGAAGGACTTCAGGGTGTTCAGCCTGGAGAAGCAAAAGCTCTGGGGAGAACTTAGAGCCCCTTCCAGTGCCTCAAGATTCTCCAAGAGAACTGGAGAGGGACTTGGGACAAGGGCATGGAGTGACAGGACAAGGGGCAATGGATTTAAGCTGAAGGAGGGTAGAATTAAATTCAATATTAGAACAAAAATCTTCATTATGAGGGTGGTGAGACCCTGGCAGAGATTGTCCAAAGAAGCCCAATCCCTGGAAGTGTTCAAAGCCAGGTTGGATGGGGTTTGGAGAAACCTGGGATAGTGGGTGGTGTCCTGGCCCATGACAGGGGGTTGAAGTAAGTTACCTCTAAGGTTCCTAGCAGCCCAAACCATTCCATGATTCTATAATCTCTGGCAGGTTGAATTACAAAACAGCACTGAGCTGGACTAGGCAGCTTTCAAACCCAATGAGCATGGTTGCCATCTTGCCATTATCTCAAAAAACAGAGTCAGAATCCACTTCTGGGATGAATAATTGCAATATACTTTACTCAGTAACTTCCATTTGCTGCCATTTGACCCAGAGGAGTGCAGAAATTCTTCTCACTCGTAGTTTTGATGATGGGCACTATTGTGTTTCTCTCAAGTAGAGAATGAATTTGTCTCATGCCTGAGAGTGTCTCAAAGCTGGGTCTTGCTTGGTTTGAAAATTAGTTAAATTTGTGCAAGGCTTCAGACTAGGCTGGATGTAATGTCCCAGTGGATTGAGATGAATTGCTTGGTTCAGAATGACACCAAGCCCAAGGGAGTCACCAGCACTTAGAAAATAAACTGTATTATGGGTTTAAAAGCCAGGGATTCATGCAATGTGAGGGACCATAATTGAGGAGATTTACCTCTAAGCACAGCTATTTCTGCTGTGAAAGGGCAAAAGCCAGAAATAATGAAGAGGAAAGAGGCAGGAGAGGTGGGATTTGGTTCAGAGATGCCATTCATTCATCCAGTGACACAGGAACTCTTCTGAATATGGAGACTGCAAAACCCCAGCCAGGTCTGAGGGGGTTGTTGGTGGTGTGGTGGGCTCTTCACACCACGAGCTGCTGATGGAGGAGGCTCCTGTGTCTCTGCAGGCTTCCCCTGTCCCACCTCTGGCCTCCCAGAAAGATTTTGGGACCCAAACTTGGAGTGTTTAACTACCAAAACCCCCAGCTGCCTGCCCCTGAGGGACTGCGTGCTGCTGGGTGCAGAACTGGGGAGGTTGCCCAGGGTGGATGGAGAAATGCAAAGGCATCAGAGGTTCATGGAGCATGCAAGCAGGCAAGGGAGAAAGAATGGTTGGGATCTGTGTGCTGGAGTCTGGGATACTCTGGATGGCAAATGATGAAGTGATGGTACCATAAATGTAATTTGCTGGAGGTGAGCTTGGAGCATGGCAGGACTCTGGCTCTGGAAAGGCAGGAGAATTGCCATGGAAATGCAGAGCTCTCTCTACCAGGAGATCTGATACTTGTGAAACAGGACATGGGACTGATGTTTTCTTGGAGCCCCAAAGCCTAGAAACGCACAATGTCTCCTACACATCCCAGGGAAAGACCAGTGGTCCATAACTTTCATCTAACTGGGACCAACTGGGCAGAATAATGAAATAAAACACAAAAGGAAATGATTTTGAGCAACTTTGGCTTAATGAACAACAGCAGTTGCATCTCATGATAATCATTGCAACGGCACAGATGAGGCAGGGAAAGATTGATCCTCACCTCCACCTCTTTCTGTGTCCAGACAACAAATGAAGGAGTGAAATCCTGTCAATTTTACAGCAAAGACAGGTCTTCCTCTACACTTTTTCCCCCTCAACACATATTAATTCAACAGGCTTCAATCAGTGGGTGTATTTTTAATTCCCAGCTGCCGGAATGACAGGAGACATTCAAAGCAGATGTGCTGAAAAGCATGACACAAAGCAAACAACACAGATAAGTACCAAAACAATCCCAAAGAGCAGATTGATGAGAGCCACAAATGCTTGAAATTTCATTGCATGTGGAAAACAGTAGTAAATAAATATAAATATAAATATAAATATAAATATAAATAACTTTTAAAATAAATATACTACCCCAAGGAAAAACTCAGATGTGAACAGTTTCAGGCAATATTGGAAAATTTGGTGGTCACCAACCTTTACAGTCCCCACCACAGTTCCTGCTCTGACATTTTCATGCAGCTGGTTTATAACCCTCACTGAGATCTCCAGCTGCAGAGTCTCTTTCCTTTTCCATGTTGCAGCCCTAGAGTTTAATACAGCATCCTCTGCCCAGCTTTTTTAGGGAATGGGGTGGTGGTGTGGAATAGCACATCCAAGCTCCCTGGATGACCCTTGGAGTCATATTTACCAGTGCTGTGATCCTTCATATCACCCACAGTTTGCCAAATGCATCCTTTTGGGATGAGACACGGGGCAGTCTGAGGTTCTGAAGAATTTGTCATGAGAAGGGGTTGCCCCTCTGTTATGCTGGTGTTTATTTTTTGCCATATGCCTGTGTTGTATACCTACCAAATGCTACATTCCAGGTTTATTATGTGTAATTATTAGCAATCCATGAAAAATCCAAAAACCCAAACAATGCATGGCTTGGTTAAATAGAACAGAGGCAGTTTTTGTTTCCGTATGGGGAAGAAAAGCATTTTTCTTCAAGGGATAGAAAATTGACTATGAAAACTAATGGAAAATCATCCTTTCCCTGCTCATTTCACACTTAGGGTGACTTATTTTGTGGTTGTGGCTGCTGAAACAGCCCCAGCAGGAATATTAGTGACAAGGGGAATACATCTCAGTGCTCTTCACTCCCATCAGTGGGATATTTTTAGCTGCTTTTCCAATGCTGCCCCATCAGATAAGCAGTTGATAGGGACTGTGTGATGCCCTGGAAGAGTCATCCTTGTTCCGTGTCACAGGCTCACAGCAGATCTCCACAGGTAGAGGAGATGCCAAGAAAACTTTCTGGGATTTCATCAGCTGACCCTTCTTAGGCACCATCACCTTCCACTTTGTCAGCTCCTCCTCTGCCAGTCTGCACTGGCAGGGGCTGTGAGAAGGCAGGAAAAGGGGTTGAACAATTAAAAGTGGACAGTTTATGGATGGATACATATACTTTGTCTAATCTCTGTTGGTACAATCTCCAAATGGAGGTTCCCTATGCCAGCTCACAAAGTTCTGGAGTGGCTACGCCACCTTCAGAGGTGGAGTTTGCCCTTCCCAATGACCCGATGCTTCCACAGCATCCTTTTTCTTTTTTTTTTTTTTTTTTTCATAATGTGTGTTTCCCACAGCTCTACACAGTGCCCAAAAAAACCCTCTTTAGCCCATTCTCAATCTCACATTTTCTCCCCAATGCCCTCACACCCTCCCACCCATCTTTCACCCCACCTGCAGGACACATTGCAGCCTCACAGATCCCACAGCCGGCCGAGCGTCACTTGGAAACCTCTTCCCTGGAGATGCAAGGATGCCACATCCTCACCTTGTGTTCCAACCCCCCCCCAGGTGACCCTGCAGCAGAGGAGTGGTCCCCGTGGAGCGTGTGCTCGACCACCTGCGGGGAGGGCTGGCAGACCAGGACCAGGTTCTGCGTTTCGTCTTCCTACAGCACCCAGTGCAGCGGCCCTCTCCGGGAGCAGAGACAGTGCAACAACTCTGCCGTGTGCCCAGGTACTGGTGGCCAGCAAGGGAGGGAGATTGGCCACCTGTGGTGTCTCCACTGTGATATTTCAGGGGAGGCCCTGGTACAGGTTGCCCAGAGAAGCTGTGGCTTCTCCATCCCTGGAAGTGTCCAAGGTTGGGTTGGATGGGGCTTGGAGCAACCTGGGATAGTGGGAAGTGGTTGGAACTAGATGATGTTTTGTGGCATTCACATTCTCTAAATATGATTTTTTTTTGCTTAGAGTTTTTCTCCTGGGAAGCTGAAAGGCAGCAAAAGGCCTTAGAGAAAAGAAAAACAATTTTCATTTTATTTGCTTCTCTTCTGTTGTGCTCATGTAGAATGTGTTTGGAGATTGTTTACTTAAAGTGATTACTTGATTGGACTCTAGTGTGAGTTGTTTTGACTCATTGGCCAATTAGGGCCAAGCTGTGTCAAGACTCTGGAAAGAGTCACTAGTATTTGTTATTATTTTTTAGTATTTAGTAAGGGGTTTTTTGTATTTTTTAATAGAATAGAATAGAATAGAATAGAATAGAATAGAATAGAATAGAATAGAATAGAATAGAATAATAAATTAGCTTTCTGATAAGATGGGGTCCTCCTCATCATTCCTCCCGGACATCAAGCAAGAATATTACAATAATCTTTCAGTTCCTTTGCATTCCAAACCATTCTATGATTCTGCAGTTCTTGGAGGGAGATGGTTTTTGTTCCCTGTCCCTTCTCTTCATGCCTTGAGGCCTCATACAGAGACTCTTGCTAGACCAAGCCCCACAAGATGGGCACCTGCTTTGCCATGGTGTAAACAATTCCATGCTGTCTGAAGTCCATGAACTCAGTACACCTGCAGGCAGGTGCCTTTTGGGGCATTTCCAGGTCAGGAACAATTTTGGTGAAAAAATAAATTCTGAGGAGACTGGAGCCTACAAGAAAAATGGAGAGGGACTTTTAAAAAGAGCATTTAGTGACAGGACAAGAGGGAATGGCTTTAAGCTGAAAAAGAGTGGATTTAGGTGGGATGTTAGGGAGAAATTCTTCCCTGTGAGGGTGGTGAGACCCTGGAATAGGGTACCCAAAGAAACTGTGGCTGCCCCATTCCTGGAATTTTCCAGGGCCAGGTTGGACAGGGATTGGAGCAGCCTGGGACAGTGGAAGTGTCCCTGCCCATGGCAGGGATTTGGAAGGAGATGATTTTTGAGGTCACCTCCAACCCAAACCATTCTATGTTTCTATGATTATTTTGAAGAATTTTGCTGTTAAGCTAAGCATGTTATTAATTTCTCCTGACCAGCAACATCGTTGTTCAGAAACAATTCTATGATGGTGAAACCACCATCCATGGTGAAATCACCATCCATGTTCCTTCCTGTGTTTCCTCCTCTGGTTATCTCTTATCATGCAAGATGCCTGGTGAGAATTAGTTTTTAACCCCCTTTCCTGAAACTGGGGCACCAGTCACTGTTAACAACTGATGAAGGACCAGAAAAGTCCCTGTTTATTTGTTTTTCTTCTTTTTCTGAAGGATTATTGATTTGGCATTAGCTTCTCTGGTAAAGCTGGAAGGAATGAAGTCGCTTTAGAGAGATCAGTGCATTCTTATAACATTTGGCCTCTGGAGATTATAGTGACTAAAATTCCATAAATAACTTGGCCAGATTAGATTAGATTAGATTGGAGAAGATTAGATTAATATAGATTAGAAGACTAATTAGATTAGATTAAAATCAATTAGATGTCTAATTCCAGGAGCTACCAGTGATGTCTTGAGCACTGTTGGAGGTTGTTGCCCCTTCCATTTTACTCTTCCAGGTCTCCCTAACTTTGCCTCTGAAGTGTTAATGACCTATGATAATAATCAGTAGACAGACTGCAGCTTTTCTGAAAGCCTTAAAATGTTGTATTTTTTGAGGATTCGATGGGAAAGTGTTGAGAGGGAGGAAAAAAAGGCAAGAATTGACAAAATTATGGTGGTGATGCTTCCCTAAAGGTAGTGGGGTTTTATTCCTTTCTAGCTAAATCCATCTTTTGCTTAAAAATTTCCCTGTTGGCTCAAAAACCTGAAAAATTAAGGTCAGCTAAAAGTGCATTTTGGTTTATTTCAAAAACTGGAAAGCAGCAGACACTTGGTGTTGATAGCAAAGCATAAAAAATTACTTGATGTTCCTCTTGCACATTTTGGATTGGTTTGTTCTCCAGCTTCCCACACGCTGCTCATTCCGGGTGGGAAGAAGCTGTGCCCTGTGGGCTCCCTCACTTCCTCAGGCCTCCTATGGGAAAGCAAAGTCACTTCTTCTGCTTCCCTTGCAGTGCATGGCACCTGGGACGAGTGGTCTCCGTGGAGCCTGTGCTCTTCCACTTGTGGGAGAGGCTACAGGGATCGGACCCGCACCTGCAAACCCCCCCAGTTCGGTGGGAACCCCTGTGAGGGCCCGGAGAAGCAAACCAAGTTCTGCAACATCGCTCTCTGCCCAGGTAGGAACAGTGACAGATCTGAAACCTCCCCTCCAGCAGGTCTCCCCAGCTCGGTGTCCCTCACGTCGCTCATCAAGGTCTGTAGCTGACGCCAGTGAAATTCTGAACTACCCCAAGGAGGATCCTGAGGAAAGGATTCATGGAAGAAGCAGCCCAGAGGGGTTTTCTGGGGTTGTTCAGCTCAGAGATGTCTCAGGTTCAGGTTTGCCCTGTGTGATCTCTTGCAGAGGACACTTTACATGTGTTGGATCTGGCTGCCACTCGTATTTCCAAGACCATCTTAAGGTCTCTAATCTGTTCTCCCCACTGAATGGTTTAAAGTTATTTTGCCTGACTGGGTCTGTTGTGCTGGAATTAATTAATAGTTTTACTTATGTGTGCATTAATTCTGTATAAATGTAAGTTTTCTCTGTGGCTGATCCTGCTCTGGGTGGTGAGATAAGCTAAGAGTCTCCTAATGGCCTCCCATGCCAAATTTAATCTTTTTATCTTTTCTCTGCCCCTGAATCTCACTTCCAAATGCCTCTCCTCAAGTTTTACTTTGAAACATCAGAAAGAACCTCCAGGTGAAATTACTTTTACCACCTGAAAATCTACTTATGCTCCAGAGGCTTCCTTCCTCTGACAGGCCCTGGGTTTACAGCAGAGTCCCCCTTAATTTAACTCTGGGTGTCCTGGTGAACACAATCTGTACACCAGCGAGCTCCCCAAAACTCCCTCCCTATCCCTGGATAATGTCAACTGACATTTTTCCAGTTTAATGAAAATCATTATGAGACATTATTATGTCCCCGGAGGAAGAGAGGGATTGTGGGAGGGATGAGAACTTTGTGAAAACAGTGAGAAGCCTCCTGGCATTTCCCATCGAGTTTTCACTCCAAGTAACTATCCTTGGATATTTGGCTGCTGTCCAGAAGACTCTACTTGGAATAAGAACTTCCCAGACACCAAATTGACTCTGTCATAAAAAGACACATTTAAGAAGTCAGAGCTGGCATTGCTTGGGCAATAAAGCATACCCTGAATTAACATTGATCCATAATTAATTTAAATACAAATAAATATGGGACTGAAACAGCGGTGGAAAAGACAAGCAGCCCAACTGCAAGGCTTCAGCTCTAATTAGTGCCACAAAGGCAATCAGCGAATTGGCAGCGCCAAATGAGAGAGGCATTGGGGGAATCATTGAAGCACAACAATGGGTGTTTGACACCCCAGACACTCTCAGTGTTTATTACCACCCTGATCCGAGGATTTGTGGCTACAGCCAATAAAAATGCTCTGCTGCAGGGACAACAGGGCCTTTGTTCCTCCTGAGATGTGGAGGAGCAGGGTAGGCCCCATGTCCTAGGCCACAGGCTAGGCCCCAAGTCCTTGGAAAAGGGAAAAAGAAGGAAAAAAATGCCTTCATCACACAATGAACATTTTTGAGAGACTCCCACTGTGGTGTGACCATGGCACCAAGCAGCCCTTGGCAGTGGGTGTGATAAGAACCCCTCAGCATCCTGACCAAGAAGCATCTCTGCATCAGTGCGAGGTGGCTGGAGGGGCAACACAGCCACCCTTGTTTCCTTTTTTAAAATGTTTCCTCCTTTCCTTTCCTTCCTCCTTTTTTAAAAATGTTTCTGAAATTACAGCCTGTGAATAACTACAAGGAAATTACATGTTCCCAATCCCCTGCTGAACGACCAAATTATGGATTTGGTGCCTTGCTTTTACCATCTCCAAATGCTTTCTCTCCTGAGAAGATGCCAATCACCAGCAGCAGGGAGGGTGTTGGAAAAATGCAACTTTTTTTTTTGATAAATGCAGTTTTTTGGTAATTGTCACATTGAATGTGGCGAATGCAGTCTCGCTTTGCCAACACAGGGAAATGTTTATGAGGGGCAGGCAGCATCATTATTAGGAAGAAATTCTTCCCTATGAGGGTGATGAGGCCAGAGAAGCTGTGGCAGCCCCAAATCTGGAAGTATTCAAGGCCAGGTTGGACAGGTCTTGGAGCACCCTGGGATAGTAGAAGGTGTAGAATTAAATGATCTTAACCTTTCCAACCCATGCCATCCCATGATTCCATGATTTTATGATCAGTCCATGGAAACTTAGCAGCACAGCCTTCAGTCAGAAAAGCCACCCTAATTTATACCTGGTAAGACCTACTTTATGGAGTTTTGGATCATTTCCAAAGAATAATCACCTGTCAAACACTGTGTTTCACATTTTCCCTCGTTGGGATTGATAGGCACTGGCACAAAGCCTTGAATTTATGCACAATAAAAACATAAATGGTTGGATTGTTAAAAACAAACACCTTTTGGAGGTGCCTTTATGCCTGCCTGATTTTGCACACCTTGTGATCCCCTTTGAGTTTACAGTTGCTCATTTGGATGCTTTTAACATTTTTTTAAACTAAGTTTGCAAACAAAAAGCTTCTCAATTGCAATGAGGATTACACAGGGCTGATCAATTCCTTGCAGATTACATGGGGGACGAGTTGGAATTTATTTTTCTTGGACAGACAAGCAAAGCAAAAAAGAAAAAAAAAAAAGAGCTGCAATGTGCTTTGAGTCAGAATTCAGACTTTTCAGAGATTCAGGTTGTTTTTCCCGAGTGAGATCTAGAAGCTAATTAGATCTAAACAGAGCATGATGACCACTGTTAATGAGAAAAATGCTCCAGGAAGAGCAGACTGGGTGATGGATCTGTTGATCAGGGACCAATTAGGGTGTAACCACCACACTGGGGAATGCTTCAGTCCATACCATGATAATAGGATGGTATTCCTGTTTCTCTCCTGCCCCGTCCCTATGATCATCTCCCTTGTCCCTCCCTCTTCTATTTAATTTTCAAAGACACTGCTGGGTAAAACATCTCCAGCCTGCCAGAGTTAATTTAGCTGTGAGAGAAGTACATTGACCACACACACTCACCCTGTTCCCAGTCCTCTGTTGGAGCACACCTTTGCTTCCACATTTCCCAGCCATGGAATGGTGGATTCCTGTCAATAACACTGTGATTTGAGTTTCTGGCCGTGCTTTAATGAAAAACAGAGCATTTGCATGCTTGAGAAAGTTCATTCTCCACAGATTCATGCACTGCTCTGCTGAAAAATGGGTCCCTTAAAAAAGTGCTGATGGCTTCAAATAGGAAATGTCATGAAAATTAAGTGATCCCTTCAAAGTGCTCAGTAAAAACATGAGCCACACTCTCTGATGTAATGTTGTGTTGTGATTGGCAACACTATTAGTTTGGACTTTCATGTCAGAGTGTGGAATATCAACAATTTCAACTTTTATGGTATTATGCAGAGAGTGGAACATAAAAATTAAAATGTTACCGCACATTAAAATGTTACTTGCATCCTGTGGGACTCTTGGAGGCTTCAGAGGGTCCCAAGAATCCCTGTTGCCACAGTTGCCCAAACTTTTTTGATAATCTCTGCCCGCTTTGAAGCTCCGGTTTGATCTCCCCCCCTCAGTCCCTGCTCGGCAAAGGCCAGAGGCTCTCACCACACATCTCTTCCCAGAGGGAAAGGTCTTCACATTCTGCTCGTTTTCTTTCTTTGGGCCACTCAGTGGACGGCAACTGGAACGAATGGTCGAGCTGGAGCTCGTGCTCCGCTTCCTGCTCCAACGGGACCCAGCAGCGGACGCGGGAGTGCAACGGGCCCTCCTACGGCGGAGCCGAGTGCCAGGGACACTGGGTGGAGACCCGCGACTGCTTCCTGCGCCAGTGCCCAGGTCAGTGACAATGGACAATGCCTTCTTCTTTCTCTTGGCCCACCTTCCTCTGCAATCCCAGTAAAATGTTTGTTTGGGGAAGACTTGCGCCCATTCTGGCACACCCGGATCATTCCAACAGACCACGGCTGTTGGTTTTTGGTTTCTGTGTTGTTTTTTATTAAGGTTGGGATTGAAAGTGTTCGACATGGTATTTCATGTTCAGATTTAAATGTTTATTATTTCTTGTAATCTATATTACATTATAGATTTCTTATAATCTATACTATAGATAATAATATAGATTATAATCCAATTATAGATTTTTTAAATCTATATTACAGTTTTACAAGTTGTGGGTTTTACAGCATTCTACTAACTAGCTATAAAATGGTTAACTATCTTTTTCTATAACGTTTTTTAAGGTTAAACTATCTAATTAAGAAATTATATATAAGTATAAAAGTATAAAAGTATATTTAACTATAAAAGTATTTTCACTTTTAACCAATAACTAATTACCTGAAGTCTGCAATGTGGACTTTTCTAATTATAAAATACCACCCAAACCCATGAAGAAAAAGGTGAAGAAAAAGGATTAGCTACTGTTCTGAAGCAGGAATCTGTGCCCCTCAAGACAAAAAATTCAAAACTCTTAGTATCCAAAGTTCCAACATATGCCAGCCAAAATCCACTGCTGGCAAATGTTTCAGGAGACCCCAGAGAGGTGAGTGATTGACCACAGGGAATGTGTCTTTCTAACCTTAGATATCAGCTTTTCAGCATGAGCTTAAAAAACTCCCATGAAAATATCAATGAAACCCTTCCCTTGCCTCCACAGGGCTTCAGCTTTCCTCCTCTTTTTGTTTTGTTCCTCTCCTCCCACCATTTCAACGTTCCCAGTCATATTTCAAGCAAATGGGGGATCCTCCATTGTATGTCAGCTTTAAACTTTATCAGTGAGAAGGTCTGCCACAATAAAGCCTTTGTTCATGTCTGTGCAAGATTTGTCACTGCACTCACCTGTGACTTAATAGTAATGACAGAAATAACAGTAATAATAATAACAACAGTAATAATAATATATCCTACAGGAATTCATCCTGATCTACCTATTTCTTCAGGGAATCGCTTTACACTCTGATAACACCATTATCTGCAGTATTTAAAAAAGGTGTTGGATTTTCCTACATGGTCTCGAGTAGGTTTTCATGTTTAGGAATCTCATTCTTTCTTTGCAACTTAGGGAGATCTTTAAAGACAAAAAGGGCCTTCAGAACCCCTTTTAAGACAACCTTGTCTCACTGATTTCAGAGTTATCTGTCAAAGCAAATCAGGTCATACTTTCCACTGCATAAAACATCACTAAATAAAGCACCAGGATTTGGTCCTGCCCCTCTTATTTGGTAATTTTTGTCTACTTCTTGGAGCAGGCATGGATCTCCCACCTCCCAAAAGGAATTATTCAACTCAAGATGATGTGGTAACTCAAAATTAAAAGCTCAACTTGTAAAGAGCACACTTAGGCCCTGTTCTAGTTCTGTCACTGAGTTGTTGTGGCACAGCAGAGGAGAATGTTTCCCTACCTTGCAGGCTTGTTGTGAGGGCTAATTAACATTTTTATGGTGCTGTGATAAATGCCATTGTTAATGTAAAAGAAGCAGAATTTTGATAAATGTCATTTTTAACATAAAAGAAGTCACATTTCCACTGGATCTGGAAAGATGCTGGGAGAAGATACAATGGAAAGAGACAGCATCCCAAACCTTTTTCCAAGGCACATGAAGCATCAGTGCAATGGAAACAACTGGAGGGAGGTTTATTTGGGGTCTCTTCATGGTTTTTTTGCCCAAGGGCTCTGCTGGTCTCTCTAAATCCCAGAGCCAGACCTTCTCTGGGAAGGTCCATTTTCACACATGCATTGCACATTCCCAGTGAATTCCAGATGTGGAACTGGCCTGGCAGATGTGGCTGCCATGTTGAATCCCTGCCCATGGGAAGAGTGTTCAGGAGCACAGCCCCAAATCTCAGCCTGAGGAAAGAGGTAGGGTTGCTTTTGCAGAGTGTGGTGCTGAGAAGAACACAAAACCACCCTTGGACTGATGGGATAGGAATGGGAACACTGATTTAATGTCTGTTAAGGATCAAACCAAGATCCAAAGCAGGAGACCTCCCTTCCTACCAAACCCTGCCCTACTTAGGTTCTTCTGCTCACATTTGGATCTTGATTCCTTCTGTTGCAGATGATTTTTGGGACATAACAGGCTGTTTCTCCTCTTTTTTTCCTTTTTTTATCTTTTTTTTTGTTTCCAGTGGATGGGAAGTGGCAGGCCTGGGGAGTGTGGGGCAGCTGCACTGCCACGTGTGGAGGTGGCACTCAGAGACGTGACCGGGTGTGCTACGGCCCCTTCTTTGGTGGAGAGACTTGCCAGGGTCCCAAGGAGGAGTACAAGCAGTGTAATGACAGAAAATGTCCTGGTATGTACCCTAGATCCCTCATGCTTTCCTTTGAATGAGGCAGAATTTTTGAATTTTGGATTTTAGGAATGGCTTCCATGTCATTTGTCAGAGATCTGAATGCTATGAAGGGTTGTAATCTAATAAAATCCTACCCACGACCCAGGCACAAGATACAAGGTCTTGATTTAACTGTTGCAGAATCTGGCACAACCGTGTTGGTTTCAGTGAATATTTGGTGACTCACACCAGCCCTGCCTTGGTGGTTTCAACTTTTCATTGCCATAGAGTTACAAGAGGAAAAGAGAAACTGTTTGGTAGCAAAAACTGGTATCAGAGTCTCAAATCTATGAAGTTGTTGAGTACTGAGGATGTTGCACAGGTTTCCCACCCTTTACCTCTGGGAAGCCTGCACACCACTAGAAATTTTTAAGAAAAAGATGTGTCTGCATCTGCCAGAGCTTTACCCAAATCTTATCCTCCTGCAGAGTGTATAAGCTGAATGGAGGGTGAGTGAGCTGTAGGGCAGATGAAAACCTGGGTTTGGATGTGAAAAATAAGCTGGCGTGAACTCTTCCAAGTGGGAATGTTTCTGTCTGCCTCCCAGACTATACAGAGACCAAAAAAAAAGGCCTGCCCACCATTTCTGCTTTCTTCCTCAGTCTGAGTTAAAGGGCCTGGTGAAATTGCTGGTGGGGAAATCAATGGCCTTTGTGATGTTTGCAGTCAGATTGCATCGATTGTAACAGGCCATGAGCTTTGACTGAAAGGGTAATTAATTGTCAGAGCAGCTCAGTGAGAGACAGGAGAGATTCTCATGGCAGTATCCCAGCATTCCTACTGGAAAGGGGCATCTCCCTAAAGGACAGGAGGCAGCAATTTTGATGCAGGAGTGCCTGGGAGCAGATCTTCCACATGGAGGCCAAGCCGACACCTCAGACTCCCTCACAAAGTGCTGAAGACAAAGAGATGAAAGCCAAAGGACTTCAGCGTGGAAGTTCCAGCACGTTCAGCTCAGAGATGACAGAGAAAGAGGCTGTGTGACAGCCTTGTCACTCTTTCCAGCTACACTCTTAATGAAAGGCATCACCTCTCCTTACAAGCTGTGCCTCTCAATTAGCAGTGGCGTGTGAGAATCTCTTCTAACTCTGCCACAAAGCTCTCCCTCGCCACAGAAAATCTTAGCACCAGGTTGTCTGGTGGTGTCTACAGAGTGAGGCAGATTTAGTTCAGCTTCAGTGTGTGCCAGCTGGGGCCCTGGCAGAACAAGCCCGATCTTTTCTTCTCTTTCTGCAGGGGTTGATGCCTGTGCAGTGCTCAAAAGGAAAAGGCAAGTCTCAGGCACTGGGGCCTGCCAGGGTTCACAGCCAGAAGGGTCTCGTTGCAGTTGTTAATTTGCAAGGGAAGGAAAAGGTGGGGAAAACATCAGAGGCTAAAAATAAACCCGCTCAATTTGTTCTCTAGAAAGTATCACATGCTGGCATGATTCAATTTGAGCAGAAGAATTGAACTTAATTGGGTTAGTTATTAAAATCTCCCAGTGCAAATAGGTTACTCTGGTAAAAGGGATTTTGTTGTGAAGCAACATCAAAAAGAAAAAAAAAAGAAGAAGAAAGGAAAGGATTCTCTCCTGGCCTGGGAATTGCTCCTGTGCTCACTGGCAAGACAACTCCAATCAGTGTGTTTTTAAAGAGCATCTCTGATCCACAGCATCCCTCAGTGGTCCCCAGGGACACTGCAGGGGTGATGAGACCAGGAAGTTTTGACAGGCCAGCTGGGGAGAAATAAGAGGAGAGATGTGAACATTCTCCCTCTCTGCTTTTTTCTGTGCTCTGCTGTTCTGTAGCTGAGGGTGCTGGAAGCTTCCACACCCCAGAACCCTCCTGTGAACCGTGGGACAATCTGTGACCGTGGTCAAAGCACAGGAACTTTGGAAATCATCTCCCTGCTCTGGGACAGGCTCTGTGGGTGACCAAGTGCTGTCACAACTGGGTTATTCAATCTCTCTGCCCCACAGCTCCGTGTCAGCAGGCTGGAAATGAAACTACCTCTTTTCCACCCCTGTTCTGGCTTATCTGCAGAAGCCACGAGCTGTTGGCTCAGGGATGAGCCCTGCTCATGTGCAGAGCACAGCTGGGGTCCCGCTGCCCTCCGGAGTTCCATCACAATAGTGATTACTCACAAGGGAACTTTAAACCAGGGGAAAGGAGCATCTGTTTCCAGGCAGAGAATTCAGCTTATTCATTCCCAGTATCTACTGGGGGGGACTTCATCTTTGAACTGCAGCTGGGGTTTGGGGCAGTCTTGGAGCCTGCCTGCAGGAGCACTGATGTGCAGGCAGCTTGCTGGGTCCTATAGGAGTTCTTCAAAGAATCAGAACTTGCCGTGCCCATAATTTAGGTTTGAGCACTCCCCACAGCCAGGTTGGTCCCTGGGTAGTCCCAGAGCAGCAGTGGGACATGTCCTGACCAGCTGCAGGCACAAACTCAGCTTCCTTTGTGTTGGAAATTTTACATTGAATAATGTAAAATGCACAGTGAATAAAAACTGTAATCAGAAACTATTAAATCAAGTTTTTTCTCCTTCCCTCCCTCAGGAGTGACAAATAGCTTTAACACCATCTTCATGTCTCCCTCTGCTTTACATGTTGCAAATAATGAGTTTATCAGCACAAAGACCTCCTGTAGTGAATGTTTTTCTCCCAGATCCCACCAACTCCAGGACCAACTCAGCTCCACCCACAGACAGAAGCTTCCAAAACCATCCTTCCAATGATTTTTTTTTCTGTTATGTCTCAAAACACATTTCTGCAGGCTTTTGGGCTCTGCAGCAGTGTTTGGAAATGAGCTGTTGATGCAGTTCCAAGTTGTTGGGGCTCAGATCTGCGCTCTTTTGTGCACAAGATGGAAGCAGGCAGAATGAAGACCACCCAGGGGATGTGTCCATCTTGTCTTTTCATTTGCTTGTTCTTTCCTTCATCCTTAATCCACTGATTCATGCCAAGCCTCATTTTAGATACATCCAACACTGAAGGTGGTGACCCTGAGGGATGGCAGAGGTGGAGTCTGGAGTCATGGAGTTCACTCACAAAAGATCTGCCCATTAAAAATTAAGAAATAAAACTCTTTAGTAGAGGGTAGCAACAGCAGTTTTCTTGCAATGAGCTGCCCCAAGGCAAGGCAAGGATGTGAGTGGACTTTCCCAAGGATTTTGGTGAGCTAATCCTTGGTGTGGATGAATGCCCAGTTTTCAGACAGACAGAACAAATTCCAGAGAGGTGAAGTGACTTTGTGAGGGACTAAGCACCAGCAGAGCTGGGAGTGCAGCTCCAACCTCCTGGCTCACAGATCATGCTCCCATACTTCCCTTTTCCATGTCCTTGCTGAGGAGGAAGCTTTACCAACAGAGTTTTTCTCTCCTGGCAGAGCCCCATGAAATCTGTGACGAGGAGAGTCTTGGCCCCGTGGTTTGGAAGGAGACGCCAGCCGGGGATGCTGCCGCCGTCCGGTGTCCCCGCAATGCCACTGGTAAGGGTGACTGCATGGTGGGCAGGTGGCCTCTCATCCTTTGTGCCCTAGGTGAGGAGAACCTTTGTGCCCTAGACAGGACAGGCACGTGGACTTCCCTCTGTTTGTCCATGGCTAAATTAACTCTGCCTGGGTTTCTGGTTTCGCTGTGAAAGCACAAACATCTTAGTTGCTACTGGATAATGTGAGGTGGTTTCCATTCACCCTGTGGAAAATTTGAAATTAAGGAACACTAAGATACCCTCCCTTCATTATCTACAAAAGGCTTTGCAGAGCAGGTAGGGCTTTAGACTCCTCTGGATTTGGGTGTTGTAGTTCTCTCCAGTGCCCATAAAAGCAGCTGCTGTATGAGACATATTTTGTCCATTATTTTGTTCTTTTCATTCAGAACTCAAAGACATTCAGTTTTCTATATGTGGCAATGCATAATAAAACTTAAAGGGGTTGTCAAACAAAAATTAAATCTGTGTTTATTTGAAATTAATATACCTGAGCAGCCCCAATAATATATTCTTTTGTAAATGTAATAATTAATAATTTATAAATGTGAGATTCAAAACTAAATTTTAGAATCATGGTCTTCTCACGTGCAAATGATTGGCATCAGTTATGTTCACAAACAATTTTAACCTCTTTGTGGTATCCTTCCTGACCTTCAACAGCCACACTAAAAATTCAGGAAATCTGAATTCTGTTGTCCACTTGCACTTAGAAACCTCAGCACCTCTCTAAAAATTTCTTTGAGCACTCAAGTTGAGGGTCTGATCATTCTGGTGTAAAGTAAAAGGATGTGGGCATCCAGGTGTTACCTGTGGCCACAGGATGGAAGGTGGTGCAGAGGAGGCTCCAGGAGCAATGCTGGTGGTGGAATTTGTCCTCAGCTGGATGTTCCTCACTGTCAGGCAGGAACATAAATAATGGCAGCAGTTTCAATATGTGTAAAGGTTTTATTTCATTTGAGGGAGAGGATTGGATGCAGACAGCTCTATTTGACTCAGCTGGGACAGTCAGTGTCATCCCCAGTGCTGTCCTAGAAGGGCCATACCCAAAGAAAGGCCACTGAATCATTTGGCAGCAGCAAAAGGACTGCAGACCCAGCAAACTTGATCCTCAGAGACTTTCTAAATGGCATCATGGTGGCTGGGACAGAGTGATCCCTCTCCCTTTCCTCCTCTCTGATATGTCTGCTCCTCCACATCACAAGGCATGTGATTATCACTGCAAAGCCCTCTGTGGATTGGAGCTGAGGGGAGGCCTGTGGGAGGACTGGAAGCAGCTTTCAGAGAGTTTCAGCTGATGCAAAACTGGTGCTGTCGGGTGTTTATTCCCCTCCAGGCTGCGTGGGCAGCACAAGCCCTGCTTTAGTTGCAAGTACCAGACCAAACCACCTGGGGAGGCTCGTGGGGCTTCCCAAACCAGGAAAAATGCTGTCACCAGGGCAGAAGAAAGCTTCTCCTCACCCTGACTAGCCATGTCCAATTTGTTAATTTTTGGTTTCCTGCCCAGTTCCTTCTGCTGTTCTACAGTAGTAAAAGGCAGGAGAAGGAAATAAAGATAATCCCCCCTAAAGGCTTGTTCAGACATCTGCAGGTGCCTCTGATGCCCTTTGTGCTGGTAGCTGAGTCTGAATTGGTGCATTGACCGGTTCTGGGTGATCTCCATTGAATCATGAAGGCTGGAAAAGACCTCTAAGATCCTCAGGTCCAACCATTAACTCAGCACTTCCAGGCCCACCACTAAACCACGCCCTCAAGTGCCACATCTACACCTGTTTTGAACACTTCCATGGATGGTGATTCCACCACTTCTCTGGTCAGCTTGTTCTGATGCTTGACCACCCTTTCAGTGAAGAATTTTTCCTTAATATCCATCCCAAATCTTCCCTGGCAGAACTTGAAGCCATGTCCTCTTGTCCCACGACTTTCTACTCATGACAAATGTTTGAATGTTTGACCTTTCATCCTGTCCTCACTCCCATATTTGTTTCTTTCATTCTTCCAGGGCTGATCCTTCGAAGATGCATCTTAGATGAAGAAGGCATCGCTTACTGGGAGCCACCAACATACATCAAGTGTGTTTCTATTGATTACAGGAACATACAGATGATGGTAAGGCAGCCCCACTGCTCAGCTCAGCAGGTTTGGGATCCTCCCCAGTGATTGCTACATGGCTATAGTTACAAAAAAGGGAAAAAAGGAGATTCCAGCTCTACCTTGATTTTATCTTGTTTTTTTCTGCCTACCTTGTCATGCACGGGCTCTGCATGGACAAGGGATGGTTTCTTTCAGGATATTTTAATATCCAGCTTGGCAGAATCTGGGCTCTTCCAGACCTTTCATATCACATTATCATTAACTATAGCTATGGCTGCATCACTTTTAAATAAGCATCTTATTTTTTGTTAATCTTAAATTCATTGTTATGAGGAATTTCTGGTGGTCTCCTGTGACCTTTAGGAGAACTGATCTCTCCTGTTCATGGTGAGGTACAAGCTGTCCTAAAATAGTTCCAAATTGATTGCAAGAAAACAAGATTTTTGGGGCAAAAATATTCTGTTGGGCTGTGAACAGAAGAAAGTTTGTATAGTGGGACAATTTCTTCTTTGTGGGCAAAACAGAAAATTTCAGTTCTCAGTCATTTTAGGGGTACTTGGAAGATAATTTAGAATATATCACTCTTTTCTATCATTTTAAAAATACCAGAGGCTCTCAGGCCAGCAAAGATTGTCAGATTCATCTGATCTGCACTCTGAATTGTGAGGGAGGTCAAAAACCTTCCCTTGGCAATTCCTTCACCGAGCTCATTAACTCGACTTTGACTGTCCCTAAAAGTGTTCCTCGCGTTTCTTTTCTGTTTCTCAGACCAGGGAACACCTTGCCAAAGCTCAGCGTGGGTTGATGGGAGATGGGCTGTCAGATGTGCTCCAGAACCTTGTGGAAATCTCCCAGGATGGGACCAGCTACAGTGGGGACCTGCTGTCCACCATGGATGTACTCAGGAACATGACAGAGATCTTCCGTAGGGCTTATCACAGCCCGACTTCTGGGGATGTGCAGGTGAGCCCAAGGCTGGCTTAAAGAGCTGCCCATGCTCAGGGCTCCAGGTTTGGTTACAGACACTGATCATAGCTGATACAGTGCTGATGAAAATCAGAATAATATTTTTCCCAACATAAATGTCTTTCTGTATTAACAAATTCTCCCTTTGAGGTGGTTCTTCCTTGGTTTATAAACTGAGAACTTGAAAGCCAAGGTCACTCTGAACAATTTCAACACGATAGCACTTCACTGCAGAGCCTAATTGGTATCAGAACATTATTTGGTAGGGATTTCAGGCTAATGGCTCGAGGTAAAATGATCCTGTGGCATTGGGTACCGGGGTGTTGCTGTAGGGAAATATCATAGTGGTTTCTTATCCCAGGGCTTTCTATCCAGAAGCTACCAGATACACCCTTGGGATTGGTCATCACCTCATGACTTGAAACATTAAACTGATCCTGCAGGATCTGCAGAGAGGGGTAAAACTGGAGGAAAAAAATCAATAGTTTTAAATTTCCCGTCTCCTTCCTTCTCACGCCATGCTGTAAAGTTCCTACCATGGACAGCTCCCTCTTGATCCATCTCTGCATCTCCTGCCTGGTCAAAAGTTAAAGAGAATCCTGAGGTTTCCATATGTTGGAAACAACAGAAATAATATAACAAAAAAAGATATGGAAGGATTTATGTAATGGAAGATCATCTGGTTTTAACCAGCTTCTGACAAATATTTACCATGTCTGTCCTTAAAAATCATCAGTAATGGATACAAGACCTATTCCCAATCCAATGCCTTAGAAGATGCAGTAGTTAAAGTGAAATTGTTGGAAAAAAGGTCTTATTAAAACCTGCTTTGCCATTAACATCCTTGGGGACCTGTGAATTGCTCTGGAACCTTTTGGGAGTGGGATCATGAGAACGCTTTTGGAGCATCTTTAAATCTTACATGACCTTCCCAGTTTGGGCTATGTTTGCATAACAACCTCTCCTGTCCTCTCTTGTCTCCCTTCTCCAGAACTTCGTCCAGATCATCAGCAACATTTTGTCAGAGGAAAACCGGGAAAAATGGGAGGAAGCTCAGCTGGTATGAACTTTCAGCACCTTCCCTGGGAATAAAGAGGCTTTCAGCACAGGGTTAAGTCATGAGGAGGGGAATTTCCAGGCATCTACATGACCTCCTAAGAAGAGCTTAGTTCCAGGCTGAGTCACATTAAAGGAGTAACTCAGGGAGCCCCAGGATCTCAGCTCTGAGCCAGACTCTCTGCATGAAGAACAGTGAAATGCTGGTGGTGTAAACTGAATTTGGCATGGGTTTCAAGGGTCAGACTTAGCTGGGAGTTGAAAATCCTGATGTCTTTCTGTAATTCCACTCTTTCCTCTTGCTAAGATAAAGAAGTGGGATCATGTAGCTTTGAGTTCTTAGCTGAAAAGATGCAGGACTGGAGGGGTTTTCAGAACTGGGGTCTGCTTGGCTGAGCTTCTGGGTTCAGTTGTGTTTTGCTTTATTTCTCTGAGCTTCTGGGCTCAGTTGTGTTTTATTTCTCTCCTATCAAGGTTAGAGATTCTGCTCAGTCCTGAGCTCCCCATTCCTGGAAGTGTTCAAAGCCAGGTTGGATTGGGCTTAGAGCAAGATGTGAAAAGTGTCCTTGCCTATGGCAAGAGCTTGGAATTAGATGAACATTAAGTCCCTTCCAACCCAGGCAATTCTAAGATTCTATGAACAATTCTGTAGCCGAATTCTCAAGTATTAGGGGTTGATGTTGTTGTTTTTTCTTTCTGTGTCTTATTTGGCTCTTGATTTGTGTGCTTCATTTGAGCTCTCTGTTGTGGAGCTGTGTCACACCTATTCCTGCGTCCCTTTAACATTCCTTTTGTGAACTGTTGCTGTTGCAAAATTCCTCCAAAAGATCTGGAAACAGCAAATAATCAAGAAAAAAAAAATCACCCAACACACAAAGCAACACCAGAGTCCAGTTATCTTCCCACCAAACACAGAAGTCCTCTGGGAAAAACTTTTTAACAAGTGCTGGCAATTGTTAAAAGACAATTGTTGAAAGTCCAGAACATGAGACAGGGACTCAAAAACATTTCCATCATGCAACAGCAACTCTGTCAGGAGCTGAGCAACCTTCTCCCTTCTCTTCTCTTCTCTTCTCTTCTCTTCTCTTCTCTTCTCTTCTCTTCTCTTCTCTTCTCTTCTCTTCTCTTCTCTTCTCTTCTCTTTCTCCCTCATATTTTGTGCTTTCCTGTTGAATTTGGATGAGGGTGACATGGTCTGGTTCTGGGTGGGATGGAGAATCTGGACATGGCCCTGGGCAAGGTGGCCCTGCTTGAGCAAGTGGGTTGGGCCAGATGGCCTTGGAGGCCTCTTCCAAACTAAACCACACCCTGAATCTGTGATTCTTTGCCCAAATACTCCAGATGCATGTAGGTATTTCAGCACTGAGCAGAGGAGACTGTCAAGTTGTCATGACAACAGGGAAACCCTGTTGATCCCCTTAAAAACAGCTCACTCTGTGTGGCACTTGGTTCCCAGTGGCTCTCCCTGTGCAATCTGCTCTCTGCACCTCCAGGCAGGCACAGCCCACATCACCATGACCTACACATGGATTGGGAACATCACAGGGAGAATGTTTTCCTGGTCTGTATTTTAGTGGGAATTGAGCTGACAGCCCAGCACTACGACTTTAGGACACAGAAATCTCTGTGAACATGATGCCAGCAGAGGTTTTAGCAGTCTCTGTGCTTCTCCCTTAAAGCTGCTGGACCAAAATCACATCCTGCATTTTATAAGATCGACCAATTCTTTTAAAATAAAGCCTTTGGCTCCTAATTTGCTCATTAAAAATAAACCCAACTTCATTGCAGTCACACATTCCAATGCCCTGTGGCCCCCCAGGCAGAAAGATATTGTTCCAGGAAAATAAAAATGAAAACATCCCATAAAGGTATTCAGAAAGGGGTTACAATGATTTTTAAAGAGGCTTTGTCGACCATTATATGATAAAACCTAAAATGCAGCATCCAGTGCAGCCTGGATTTGGTTTGACCTTGTGATTTCAATCTGTAATGGAATATAAAAGTATGCAGCTAAAAATAGCATCCTCACTCAGTTCTCCTCCTTCTGTGCACACCTGCTGTACTGGCAGGACTTTTTCATCTCATCCTGAGACAGTTTTAGTCTTACCAAGGTTCCTTGGATAGACAGACAGACAGAGACATGCATGGCCACCCCTGTGCTCCTTGCCCGCACTCTCCATGGCCCAGCCTTCCTCCTGCCTCCTTCCCATCCTGCTTGTCCCCAGCTGTCCCTCCAGCTCACTCAGCCACCTCAGAATGTCTGGATTATGGTGAGGAACTGAAAACATCATGAAAGTGGTGGACAAGGAAAAGAAGAGGAGCTGAATTGCTTTTATTCAGCCTCTCGTGGCATTTGCTAAGCCACTGTGGGCAAACGTGCTTTGAGGAGAAGGCAGGCAGTCAGCAGAGCTTGTCTCAGGTGGATTATAGTTTATGGAATCTGTCACTGGAAAACTGGGTATTGTTTAGTAGCTCTGCCTTAAGTTGGCAAATTACAGTAAAGAGGAGTTGCTGCCAATGTCTTTATCAATGGGGAAAAAACAGGATGAAATGAGCCAGAGAAACTCCAGGACAGCCCAGTACCAAGGACTTGATTCAGAGAGTGAGATCCTGACAACAGAACAGGAAAGCAGAAAATCAGGCTGGCTGGGATTCAACATTAGACCACAATTGTCCTTTAGTGTGGCTGCTTTCAATAGAGGCATCTGGAATGAGATGACCTTTAAAGTCCCTTCCAACCCACACCATTCTGCATTTCTATGATTTTATGAAAGGAGATGGGTAGGTTATTCTCTTCTCCAGATAGTCTCCGATATTCCTTTTTGTTTAAAATTTTGCCCTCCACCCTAATTTCTATCAATCTGAATGTCACTTTATAATTTTTGCCTCTTTTCCTTTTCCTTTTCCTTTTCCTTTTCCTTTCTTTTTCTTTTTCTTTTTCTTTTTCTTTTTCTTTTTCTTTTTCTTTTCCTTTTTCTTTTCCTTTTCTCTTTTTTTCTTTTTCTTGGCTTCCTCTTGTGATTTCCCAGTCCTCCTTCTCCACAGCTCCATAACAGTCCATTATACCCAGCATATGCTCCCAGTTCACATGTGAGGGCAGAAACCTTTGCCTGCAGAGAAGCTCCTGCTGTTCTCATTAGGATCTGATCCACTCCAAATTCTGCCTCTCTTTGCAGATAGGGCCAAATGCCAAGGAGCTGTTCAGGCTTGTGGAGGATTTCATTGATGTCATCGGCTTCCGCATGAAAGATTTCCGGGATTCCTACCAAGTCACGGACAATCTGGGTGAGTTCACTGGCACTCCCCACACTGGGAAGAGACCCCCAAAAGCTGTTAATTACTGTGCAATATGGATAACCTGGGATGTGGGGAGAGAAGGAAGGAGGAGAGGCAGCAGGTGGTGGGATATTAAAAGGTCTGGGGGAAGACATGGATGGGCATAAATATGGGGTGGCTTTTCTCCAAAGAAGTTGGGATTTCATGAGGAAGAAGAGAGATCTACAGAGAGATCTGAGAGATATCTACCAAATGGAGAACAGATGACAAACTGGGCAGAATTAGACTCTTTCTTTTATTTTTTGAACACAAGAACAGCCCAGCAGCCAATGGCGGCAGTGAGCAAACAGCAGGCAGTGTTTGATTGATGCTGTGTGCACAATCGCAGCGTGGAACTTGTTGCCAGAGGAAGTTGCAGAAGCCAAAAAGTACAGATGGGTTCATGATGGGATTAGGAAAGTGCACAAAAGAGATGTCCATTGGTGGCTGTTAAAGTTGATGATCTGGATGCAGCCAGGAGCTGACGAAGTCCTGCTGATTGCTGGGAGGGCAAACCAAGAGATGTCTTGTTCTTCCTCCCACTTCTTATCAGCTGCTGCTGGCCACTCCTGGAGATAAGGTGCTGGAGCAGACTCTCCTCTGCCAGATTTAATGCAGGCAGAACCCTTTCAGCAAAGCACAAGCCCTGCTTTTATCTTCTTTCATGCACAGACATGTCCTCAAGAGAGCATCACTCCTATGGCTCCCAAGATCCAATCTCTCTGATTTCCCACTAATGCTTCCCATGTTTTCTTGAGCACACATGGAACTTATTGAAGCTGGTTTCACTCACTGGTTTCATTTCTTGCTTCTCCCCAGTCCTTGGTATTCACAAACTGCCTGCAAATGCAGCAACTGACATCACCTTCCCCATGAAAGGCTGGAGGGGAATGGTGGACTGGGCCAAGAACTCGGAGGACAAGGTCACTGTCTCCAAGAGCATCCTGTCTTCAGGGCTCTCAGGTAGGCAGCACAGCCAACAAAATTTTTTTCCTTCATTTTCTAAGAGTGATTCCTTCTGTTTGCTTGGTCGTCAAATCCTCTTCCAGATCAGCTGGATTTGGTCACAAATGTTTGGGCATCAAAGCATTGATGAGTGCAAATAAGGCCTTCAAATATGGCCTAAGAGTTTGAACTAATCTCCTCACAAAAGTTTAGGGGCAGGTTTAGTTCCTGGGTGTGGATGTTTATCTTTCCCTAAAGAAGCAGGAAAAATTGGCAAACAATGCTTTAGGTGCCCTCCAAGCCTGGATCCAGATCTGATGGAGCCATCTGAGGATGAGTAGCTGAGAGTCAGCAGGTCAGGCTGAGCAGCTGAGTCTGCTGCTTGGACAAGTTTTGATACATCTGGGGATTTATGGCCTTTGTGTGAAATTTCCTGCCCCCAGAATTGAAATTCAGAGGCATTTATCACTGAGGCTCCACATCAGGGCATGGATAGGAGCCCCAGCATGGAGGTGGTGCCTCAACCAAGCTGGCCTCACTGCCAGATCTGGAAATCTCTGATTGCATGCTAGGATAACCCAAAACTATTTATTAAAAAAAAAAAAAAAAACAAAACCAACAAACTGGAGGTTTCTGGGATGGTCTGATGAATGAGGGTGCCAAGAACCAACACACTCAAGGTGCTCATCTTTAGGCAAAGATGACATTTGGCAGGATTGAGTCCTGAGTTCTCAAAAGCAGGACCCTAAATTGGGCTGGTTGATGATGGGATTTGCTTTTGGCACTCATGGCTTTGAGAGCTGCTGGCTCCCCCTTCCTTGGGACAGAGTCTGGAGACTGAGTTGTTGCTACAAAAGACCTCTGGCCTCGAGTTGTCACACCAGGACCTTTTGTCATGGGCCTCCCTGCTGGGGATGGCATCAGCCATCACTGCAGCTTGGGAAATCTGAGGCCAAGAACAGTTAAGTGACACCCCCAAGGGTAAACAGTGAGTCACTGGCAGAGCAAGGACCTTGTCAAGCACTCCTTGTGTTTTGTTGTGCCTTGCAGACAGTGTGAGCTCCCTGGGAGAAGCTGGAGCACACTGGGAGTTTTATCCCTGTTTGTGGAAGCTGTGGTGGCTTCACCTTTTGAAATCTTTAATCACCTGTTGGACAAATTGTTGGACCAGACCTAGACAGAGCTGATCCTGCTCTGAGGCTGAGGGCTGTCCCAAATCTCCCCATGGAGCTGCTTTCTAGATTTCTGTTGGAAGCATCCTCACGGAGAGCTGCTCCAGGGCCCCTGATCTGTAGTGACTGAGCAAACAAAACATGACATCCACCCTGAGGAAACAACTTCCAATCAGTGCTCACCTCTCCATGGTTTCCTGGCTACCACCCAGGGCTCTTCTGCCTCTGTTTTATTCAATATCTCGTGCTGGTGATGTAGGTTTGGAGGGGTTACTCAATGATTCCAGCAGAAATCCAGCTCTATTAGTTTTGATCTCACTTTTCTGTGGGAACAGGAGTAGCTATCCTGAGCAAAGTGATGAAGACAGGCAGCTTCATGAGACCAAATCCAAACCCCCTCACTGCTGGGAGCTGACTTTGAACAGTTGATTTCGATGGGTCAACACTGATTTATGCAGTTGGGTGACAGAGTTGCTCTGCAAGCCTGTCTGTCAGTCTCTCCCAGTTATGTGCTCAGCAGATATCCCAATTTGATGATGAGAAAGATGGACATGCAGAGCTGTGCCTGTCCTGCAGTGATGGAGCAGACACACTCAGCTCAGCCTCAGTACAAGATATCAGAGAAGCCCCATCTGATGCTTTCCCAGGCTTCTTCAGCATTGCCTTCCACACAGCCACTTGCTTTTTCTCCCCCAAAAATCCAGCCCCAGGGCTGCCTCTGCTGCTTATGGCTTATCAGGGGAAGTTTTGGCTTTTTGCAGCTGGGGCACTGTGAGGTAGTGGAGGAGGAGGAAGATAAATAAGAGGAGAAGGAGGAGGTCAAGTGATGTGCCCAGAGGTCATACAGATGATTCAGAGGCTCATCTGGATCTGCTGCAGCCCCCAGAGGCAGCACATGAGTTTTGGGGTCAGAGCAGGCACAGGGGGACCTCTCCCCTTCCCGCTGGCCTTGTCAGCCCCAGCTCAGCTCTGCTCTCTGATGGCCTGATAGCTGCAGACGGCTCCAAAGGCCTCGAGGTGGATGCAAGAGAATTTTCCCCCTTGCAGATTTGTCTGCTGTGGTGCTGTCAGAAGACTTTGGGGGTTTCTAAATGGGGGAGCACCATTTGGGTGGGGTGAGCCTTGGTAAAGGCAGAAATCTGGGATGCTGGGTCACCCCAAAGGTGCTGAGCCCTCCCTGTAGTGACAGCAGCCTGATGCAGTGATGTTGGCATTGGCCATGGCCCAACAGAGAGCCCTCTACCACTGGCCATGCTCCTCCAGAGGCCAAATCCTGCCCTGGGGTGTCCCGTGGGGACAGCTGCCACCCTAATTGTCTCAGTGCTGTTGTCTTCTTCCCTCTCCTCTGGTGTCCTGCAGTGTCGGACGACTCCTCTGTCTTCGTGGTTGGGACCGTGCTCTACCGGAACGTGGGCAACATCCTCTCCCTGCAGAGGTAAGAGGGGCTGCCTGGGCATGGGGAGCAGCTGGGGAATCACCAGGATGAGCCCTCTGCCTGCAGAGCACCTGTTGTCCAGGGAAAAGCAGAGATCACTGGCTGCAATGAGGCAGATTTTGACCTGCAGTGGGAATATTTTGACCCCGGTGTTCAGGTGGGGCCAGGCTCATTCGTCACGTGCTGGAGGTGCAGGAATGTTTTCCCCATCCAGGTGTAGCACCCCAGAAATGAGGGGAGGAAGCTCAGTGCTGCTGTCTCACTCTTCCCTGCCACCTTTCACCCTCCAGGAGTGAAACCTCACCCTGCCCTCCTGGAGTCACAGGGGATTTTGGCAGCCCTGACAGATGAGGGATGCTTAGCTGCCCCGATCTTCCCGAGCTGCCGGGGAGCTGCCAGCCACACTGAGCCCTGGAGAGCAGCACAGCACAGCAGCACAGAGAAATCAGGCAGGGGAGGAGAGAGGGGAGCAGAGCACGCCTGGCTGCACATGTCTGCCTCAGGCACCAAAGCTTTTGTGTTCAGCACTCCCTTCCCTTTTCTTCACTCCTCTTCCTTTTCCTCTCGCTCTTTTTTTTTTTTCTCCCCAATGACTGGTACTGAGGCAGTAAATTAAGCATCCTAAGGCACCTTCTAAATCTGTTCTGCACTGATTAGCGTGAGCCCATTTACCATAAACACCAGGGCATCTCTCCTCACTGATAATCATTTAAATACCTCCAGATTTAGCACTGGCAATGGCAAAAGAGCTCCGAGTGAGTGCAGAGAGGAATTAGCAAGTCAGCCAACTGTATTCTGTAATATCTTCCATTACAGCAGTGGGAATTAGATCAGAAGGGCAATAAACATCATTGGCTCAAATGATCCAGTGGTATTTCAGCTTCCTCTGGCCAAGCAGGGAATGAGCTCTGATAACCAGCAGCTGCGGCAGCCACAGCCTCCGAACAGCGTTCCCAGGGGAGAGCTGATTTAAGATGTTCCTTAATTAAAGGACAGTCCCTCTTTAAAAAAATCTCGAGTCTTGAATCACCTGTGGAGAGTCAAAGGAAAAGAAAAAAAGATAAATGAAAGCAGCAGCAGCAGTAAAACACCTCTTACTTCAGCGCTGTGCAAATGGACACAGCATTAAAAAGGAGAATGTTGTTAAATAACCACGTAGCTGTCTATGGGTAAAAAATATTTCTGACCACTGAGGAGAGCAGCTATTCCTGGGTACACATAAGAAACACAGACCCTGGATTGGACCACTCTGATTCAATGCAGAGTGATTCTTCCAAGAAGGGAAAAAAATGAAAAAAAAAAGTAGATTTAACTCAACAAACAGCACCAGCTGAGCTGCTCCTAATTGTCCCAATTTACCTCCCCCCAAGCAGCAATTCCATCTCTGAGTCACACATTACTCTGTCCCCTTGGATCCAGAGAGCCCAGCAAATCTTGGCAGCTGTGACAATTGAGATGGGCTGCACACAAAACCTGATTTTCCAAGCTGGGGAGGTGAGAGAGGCGCTTGGTCCCAGCTGGACTCTGCTGCAGAGGACACGGACAGCAGAGAGCCACCAGCCTGCTTCTCCCTGTGTGGCCAGCACTGTGCTCACAGCCCTTTGCACACCCTTGGTGGCCACTTAGGAGCCCTCTGAGCTCCTCTCAATTCCTGCTCAAGCCGATCTCCCCGTGTTTGTTTCCTTCCCAGAAGCTGGGCTGCAACGTGCTTGTAGGAAAAGCGACTCATCTTCCTCCTGAAAGATTCCCCGTGACACTGAGTCCTTCTCTGCCCCTGACAAGCTGCTCAGCTGCTTAATTACCTTCTCTGCCAGGAGCCTGCCTCTCTTTTTAAGGCTGAATTTGTCTGGTTTTCACTTAAAGGCACTTGGCTTTCGGGTGGGTGACTGAAAAGCCCCCCACGTGCAAGGAACTATCAGACAAGCCTTCCAACAGAGAAATTTTGTTTGTTTTCCAGCACCTGGATTGATTTTGTGTCTCTGTTTTGAACTCCCTTTGCTGTTTCCTCCTCTCAAAGTGAAATTGAACCCAACAGCACAGTGGAATCCAGATAAGGAGGGTACAGACAGAAGTTCTTTGCTTCATCTCAGTGGAAGGGATTTTCAAGATTATCCCATTCCAACCCCCTGCCATAGGCAGAGACACCTTCCACTATCTCAGGCTGCTCCAAGCCCTGTCCAACCTTGCCTTGGACACTTCCAGGGATGGAGCAGCCACAGCTTCTCTGGGAATCTGTGCCCGGGTCTCACCACCCTCTGAGGAAAGAATTTCTTCCCAACATTTAATCCAAACCTCTCGTCTTGCAGTTTAAAACCATTCCCCCTTGTGCTATCATTATTTACCCATGTAAAAAAATTGCTCTCCATTTTTTTTATAAGCCTCCTTCAGCTTCTGGTTCAGCTGCAGCTTGGCCACTGGTCACCCTTCACAGTCTGCACACCGGTGACTTCTGTGTCCCAACAACTTGCCACGCTGAAAAATCAAATTCTCTTTCTGTCTGTGCTGGCTGCATCGATTCTCACCTGCTCCTCAGCCTCCACAAGGTTTTGGTGTCATCCCTGCTGCTCATGCAAATATTCAGCAGCACTGACCCGAGGACTGACCCTTGCAGACACAGCCTCTAATGAAGACATGCACTGGTGGTTACCTTTCAGCAGATCCCATTTTGAGCTTCTTACAGCTGCCTGCTCCCATTGATTTACTCCTTTACTTTTCCTCTGTAGGGTGATAGTTGTGCTTTGTCGCTTCATTATTTTTTTCTTCTTTTTCTAGTTTAGATTTTCCTTTTTTTCTTTTTAAAGGAAAAGATATATTTTTGATTTTTCTCTTTCCCTGTTAAATCAATGTTGTTGTTCCCTCTAGTGTTGGTGGAACAGTAGCTTTTTGAGTATACACTTACACATCCATAGACAATTCCAAATTTTTTTTTCCTCTTTTTTTTTTTCTTTAATCACTATTTTTTTAGCTGCTGTTAAGCAAGTGCAAATCTTTCCCACTTGATTATTTTTTAAAAAGAAAGATAAAATCCAGAGAGAAAAGTGAAAGATTTTTGCAGTACTTTGAGATTTGGTGCAGATTTGGATAAGGATGTCCTTTGTCCATGGATGTCAAGGGGCTGGGAGCAGCCTGATCTGGATCTACCACTCCACTACCAATTCCTTCATGGCAGCACTTAACAGCTGCTGCTTGTGGGGACCTTTTGCTTATTTAAACACCAATAAACTGGAGGAAAATGAAGGAATTCCATATTTTTACATGTTCAGTGACCAGGGAAGTGCCTACAAAGAATTTGTCTTTCCAGGAAGGGGAGGTACCTCCTCACATGTTGCCCCTCCCAGGAGCCAAATCTCCCAGGGCTGCCAGATTTATTACAATATTTGTCTGGGCACAGGCATTTAGACATCTACATGAGAGTTTTGGCCTTTTTCCACTTGCTTTTGGTCCTCAGGGAATGAAGATACACACCAGTGCCTCCAGCCAGGATGGTGTGCTGCCCCATGGATAAGCAACTGTGCCTCAGCCTCACTGCAGTGCAGGCTAAGCCAGCCTTGGAGAGGCAAAACGGGACTTATTTTTGTGGGAAACACGTGAAATCATGGAATATTCTGAGTTGGAAGGGATCTGCAAGGCTCACTGTAGTCCAAATGAGCTCTGTTTCCTCATGGCAGGGACAGAAAATGAGCCCAGGAATGTTTTATTTCTGGGATAGATACAGACTCTAAGGCCAGTAGATAAGGTTCATAAAATGGTTTGATTTTGGAGGGATACCTGTGGATTGGCTGTGAGGAGAGCCCAGAGTGCACAGGATGGGGTCCATCAGCAGCAAATGTCTTTGGGGTTATTTTATAATAATGGGGTCAACCCCTCCTGCACTGTGTACTCTAAACCTTGCACCACCAGTGATGGTTGCCATGGGATTCCCTGCTGCACAAAAATCCCTCTAAAAGCTGTCTTTTCCCTCTCCTCCCCAGGAACAGCACCGTTCTGAACTCCAAAGTCATCTCTGTGACTGTGAAGCCATTCCCTCGGTCTCTCCTCACCCCTCTGGAAATCGAATTCTCCCACCTGTACAACGTAAGTTGTTCCTGGAAACCTGCCCCATCCCATGGCTGTGTTTGCTTCTGCAGGGCAGGAATGTGTTGCTGCAAGGATGAGGTGGTTTTGATGGGCTCCTGACATCTTTTTGCTGGTGCAGGACCCTTCAATCCTCCTCCCCCCCAAAAAAAAAAAAAATAAAGCAAACTTCATTTCCAGAACAGCAGGAGGGTGACACTGCTGGCACAGGGAGCATGGCCATGCTTGTCCCCAGTTCACACCATTTCATTGTGGGCATCATCACACAGGAATAATTGTGCACTCATTAAAATAACTTGATGTAACAATGGTCTTCCTTGAGGAGGGAAAGGTTGTTCCCATTAATTCTGGAATATTACTGTAGTCCTCAATGCTTTCCAAGGCAGGCAAAAATTCCCTCCAGGTTCCTCTGCTCAACCCTAAGCAGATTTATGGGATGGACATTTACATACCCCAAGGTCCATCCTTGTGGAGATTAGATGCCCTCCTGAGGCTCTACAACACGAATATTAAGATCTGTTGTGTCTTTGGACTCTCCTGGAGGGATTTTCCAAAGCTGTCTCAGACAGCTGGAGTCACAGGCAAAGCTCTTCCAGGGGGCTTTAAACACACCTGACCCCTTCCTGCAGGGCTGTGCTTTTGTCCCACAAAAGCAGAGGCTGTATTTGATCCACTTTCCAGAAGGGAGCAGCAAAAGGATTCTGTGTGAGAGGAGGGATAAGGAGGAATATCCGTGGGTTGAGTCAGGAGAGAGGCAGAGTCAAATCCCTCTGCAGTGCTCGTGATGCAGAACAAACCAAGGCAGGTTTTATTCTGCCTTTTCAATCCCAGGGTGGCAAAAACCATTCAAAGGGTTTGAGATCCATGACAGCTCCTCTGGTGTATCCCAGACACCCCATCCTTAGGGCAGTGGAAGGAGATTTACAGGCCCCACATTCTTCATTCCAGTGCACTCCACAAACAGCGTGACACTGATTTGTTTCTATTTTCCCTTTCTTGTCTCCTGGCAGGGAACCACCAACCAGACCTGCATCCTGTGGGATGAAAATGATGGGTGAGTTCTGTGGGTTTCTCTTTACTCTCACAGGTCTGTTTGCTTTTTTGAGTGAAATCATCACAATTTTAGCAGTGATGTGTCAGTTCTTGCTCTCTCTACTCGGTATTTTCTTCGCCCTGGTGGGGAGTGCTTCTTCCTTCACACATGCACTGCTTCTCTCTGAGCTGTCCTTTAGTGCTGTTTTGGATTTTTCCACATAAAGGATGCATGAACTGGGACCCAGGACTGTGGAACTTTTCAGACTGAGCTCAGCACAGCTGTGCCTGGCTCTCTGCAGTGCTTGGCTCACCCCAAATCATGCACCATAAGGAGAGCAACAAAAAATCAGTTGCAAATATGGCCTGTGGAGGTGAAGTTCAGGTGATATGAACTTTACATTGTGCTGCTTTGATATAGAAAAATTATTTTTGCCAGAATTCCAGTGGTGATTGGTGCTGTTCAGGAGGGTTTGAGTGATGTGCTTGTGGCTAGCAGGGAAAAAAAACAATCCCAACAAAGAGTTGGGACCATAAATCCCATATGGGGAGTAGTTGTCAAAGAATGTGCATCTTAGAAAGAAAAAAAAACCCACTCTGAAAGTGAGGTCTTAAATCCTGAGTGAACTTGACAAGGATACAAAGTGTTTGATTTAATGGTGGTTTTACTTCACTGACTTTTGCATCTCAGTTTGAGCACCTACCTGGCTCCTCTTCTGCTTGCAGTCAGCTCCTCTCCTTGAGATCTCAGACATTTGGCACATGCCCCTGCATTTATTATTATTATTTATTATTATTACCAGCAGCATCTGAAAAATGATTCCATTCTTGTCCTTTTATGCTCCATTAAGTAGCATATGCACACAGAGGCAGGCAACATATTTACACTCAGCTCAGTTCCCGTTGGTCTGGGATTAATTTGGCATCTCTGAGTGGATCCAAAGCAAAGCTGAAGAACCCAGAGGTTCTCCCTGCTTGTGGAATCACACCTGTGTTGTAGCCCAGGGCAGAACTGGTCCCTCTGGCTTCTAGTGAAAATTGCTTCAGTGTTAGAAGATGGTTGAGATGCAGGTGGTCTTTTAAGAAATTAATAAAAGGGGTTTTATAATATTTTCTGTGTGCCAAAGAGTGTGTGGGTCAGCACAGAGGGTTGGATTGGGGAGCAGATTCAGGAGCTGGCCTGATCTGCTAGATCTGTTGTTTCTCCATGCTGGAATAGAATTAAAGCACTTGTACAACAACCCAATTTTTGGCAAGTAAAGGCAGGAGCTGGAACCACTGCCCCTTTTGCTCTGCACTCCATCCTATTACTTTTGGCTTTCCAAAAGCAGAGAGAGGGTTGTGTCCAGGAACATGGAGATGTTTCCCTGCCATGCTCAGACCTGGATTTAATTAGCTGCAGTCTGAGCATGAAAAGAGCAAAATCCAGTTTGGGAGTGGCTGAGCGACAGGGATGCCATTCAGGGTGGGTACAGGAATCTGTCAGAGCTGGCACTGGGAAGTGCCTGGTGGGACACAGATGAAGGTTTGCTCAATGCTGAGCATGGACTGAGAGGTTTGGATGGATTTTCTGAGCTGGAAGCAAAGCAGTGCCCAGTTCAGCATCATCAGCTCTGCCTCATCCTAGAGAATGGTTTGGGTTGGAAGGGATCCTAAAGATCATCTCATTCCAACTCCCTAGACCAGGTATTCCTGCCCTGGGAGCTCTGGCTGCTCCACACTCTTCCTCCCAAGGCTCAGCAGCTTCTTGGGCTGCCTGTTGTCCCTCTGGGAGTGCAGGATGCTGGGATTCCTTTCAGTCTTCCATCCCTGCATCCTCATGGCACCAAAGAATGGAAGCTAAGAGCTGAGCAGGAAATTTCTTGGCACCAAAGCCACAGTTCAGTTTTCAAGCATGGATTCCAACCCCCCAGCAGATTGGTTGTGCAAATGCTGCTGCTAAGCCTCCATTTCCCCCATGTTTTGGGATTTTGGGGGGTGTGTGTGCATGCCTGCAAGTGTTTGCAACCAACATTTACAATCTTGAGCAGCTGAAAAGCCCCAGATCCTGATGTCAGCAGATTTTTGCTCAGACAATGTTCCAAAACTCAGAGCTGATCCGGCGAGCTCTGGCAAGGGTAGCTGCCAAGCTGTTTGTGCAATATTTTAAAAGCTGATTTGCACAACATTTTAAAGCTGATTTGCACAACATTTTAAAGCTGATTTGCTACCTCTGCTGCCTCCTGGGAAAGTCTAATGAAAGGCAAATTATGCAAACCCTGTTCCCCAGTCCTGACTGCTCACCTCAAACTTGAACAGCGCTCTGGAGCTGTCGAGGAGTTGGAATCACAATTTTGGGTAATAGTTTTATGCTTGGAACAAGAACTTTTGCACTCTGGACTTGTTGCCTGGTATGTGGTAGAGGTCCTGATTGGTGGCTCTGTGCCAGGAAGCCCTGTGGTTCAGCCACTGTTTTGTGGTTCCCATCTTTGCTCCCATCTTCTCCTTCCTGCCACCTCTCCCTGTGGCCTGGAGGTTTTCCCACCAATCAGTCTCAATAGGTGGTTGTGCAAATGGGTGAAATCAAGGATGTCCCATCCCTGGAAGTGTTCAGGATCAGGTTGGATGGGGCTGTGAGTAACCTGGTCTAGGGGAAAGTGTCCCTATCCACGGCAGAGGTTGGAATTAAATGTTCTTGAAGGTTCTTTCCAAGCCGAACCATTCTGTGATTCTGTGAAATCCCATTTCCCATTTCTCACCAATTTAATGGAATTACAGCTTCATTTCCCTGCCTGTTCTCCCCCCTGCTGCATTCCCTGCAGCCCAAGCCAGCCTGTTGATGGCAAATCCCCATTTGCTGTGCCTTGAATTATCATCTTCACATCAATGATCACAGCGTGCTCTTTGAGGGTCCATGCTTCAATGCACCTAGTGGCCAGTGTCACCCACTCATTCTACTTCACCTGTGGAACCACCCATCCCTATTCCTTCCTAAATACTCCAGATAAGGCTTATCACAAAGAGCAAAAACCCAACGAAGGCCATTCTCTGGCAGAACACACATGGCCCCTCCTCCACGCTATTAATTCCACTGAGCCAGTCCAACTTCCAGTAATCAAACCTTTAACGCCTACCTTAATATTTTTGCAAACATTTGACTATTTAGAATTCAAAGAAGAAAAATTATAGAATAAGAAGACAATTGTGAATCAGGTTGCTTTCTCAGAAGATGCTGAGACCCCTCAAGATTCCTCGTGTGCCACTCTCCATGTTCCTGCTCCAAGGATGGGCGGACAGGTGGAGCTTCCCCACACTCACAGTCACCCACCTGAGGCTGCAGAATTTGGTGACCCAAATTCCACCTGAATCCAGTGACCCAGCCTCTGGATTTAACCCCTTGCTTCCTGTGACAGACCAGGTACAGAGGCTGGAAACCTGGAGCAATCCTCCCATGAGAGCTCCAGCCTGTTCCTGCAGACACCTGAGTTTCCAATCCCATCCAGAGCATGCCAAAATTCTTTAAGGGCCACTTAAAATCCATGGGCCGTGAAGGGTTGGACTGTAAAATTGCAATTAGAATCAGACAATTATCTGGTGACCATGTGCTTCCTCAAAGATGGAGCTGTCGAACAGAGCACTTGGAAATAAAAAAAAAGAGGAAGAACCCTTGAGTGTTCATTCATTTGCATTTAGATGGATATTTAAGCTTGTACTATTAACAATGGATTTTTGATTTATTAATCCCAGCCCCTTTGAGTGACTCTGAGACTCGTGGGTGGCACCTCTGCCTCTCTTTTCTCTTTCCCTTGCCCCCAACTCCTCATGGCATGAAATAAGAGGGGAGAAGATCAGGGACTAATTTCTGTTGTGTTGGGTGCTGTGAGTGTGATTAATGACCCTAGCATGGACTGGGTAAATTGAAAGTTGAAATCAGAGAATGATTTGGGATTCTCTGGCTCTCCTCCAAGGGTATTCATCTGGAGTAATTATTGGCTGCTTAGCCCTGATGAAGTGAAAACCCAGGCAGGATCTGGTCTCCTGCTCCCTCTTTCTCCTCCTGGGACAGGGGAGGAGTTGATAAATACATCCATGGTTGTGTGATCATGTTCTTGTGCTTCCCCAGAGTTTCATTTCTCACCTGCCTTGCCCAGGGATTTCATTTGGCAATGGGAACAGGGAGACAGAGCCAAGGTTTGTTGCTGGGGGTGACAACATCCCTTCATGTGTCTTTACAACTCCCTGACAGGACATTTTAATGAGGTTGGAGTCAGTGTCTTCTCCCAGGTAACAAGGGACAGGACAAGAGGAAATGGCCTCAAGATGCACCAGTGGAGGTTTAGATTGGATATTAGGAAAAAATTCTTCACTGGGAAAGTGGTCAGGCTTTGAACAGGCTGCCCAGGGAAGTGGTGGAGTCACCACTCCTGGGAGTGTTCCAAAAAATGTCTGGATGTGGCACCTGGGGATGAAGTGTAGTGGTGAACATGGCAATGGTGGGTCAAGAGTTGGGTTGATCTTTTCCAGCCTTAACAATTCCATGATTCTGTGGCTGCAGAGGAAGGTGTGGGGCTATTCAGTGTTATAAAGAAGTCCTGCTGCCCCATGGGGCTGATGAATCTGGGTTCAGGCCATCAAAGCTGTGTTCGGGTGTTCTTTGAGCACAGGATCAGGTAAATGAGGAGAATTGGTGTGAGATGGAAAGGGACAGTCACAAACCACAAAGTGTGGGGTGTCTGACAGGGACATGGAGTGATGGGGCAAGGGGAAATGGCTTTAAAGTGAAATAAAGTAGATTAGATATTAGGATGAAATTATTTAGTGTGAGGGTGTTGTTGGAACCCTGGAAACTGGAATGCCCAGGAAAGCCCCATCCCTGGAACTGTCCAGGGCCAGGGTGGATAGGGCTTAGAGCAACCTGGGATAGTGGGAAATGTCCCTGCCCATGGCAGGAGGGTGGAATGAGAAGAAATTTAAAGTCCCTTCCATCCCAAAATCCTGTGAAGGGTCTGGAGAGACAACATGGGATCAGGCTGCAACAAGTGA